TCGGGTAGGAGAGGTTCATGAGGACAGCAGCCAGGAGGAACACGCGCCTGCCCTTCGGGAAGCCCCGAGTGAGACGCAGGGGCGCGCTCGTGAACATGGGCTCACGTCGCCTCTCAGTGCCAGGCTGTTTCCTACCGAGGGCCCGCTGTCTTCTCTATGGTACATAATAACACAATGGCATGATTCTCACAAGATGACAGTAGGTGATAATAGATGTTATTAATTCCACTTTCACGGATAAGAAAATGGAAACTCTAGAGTTTTAAGGACATTCTTTTGGCTACTGCAGCAAGAAACGGGAGGGCTCAAGTCTTCTCATGCTGTATTTAGCATGTCCGCTCTTTTGAGAAGGAAAACATGGGGATATGATGAAGAAGGAAAATACTAATGAAAGGTTTAGCACAAGAATCTTGTATGGGGTGGAGGAGTTGAGAAGCAAGCAATTTGTGTGATTTACTCAAAAGTGACATATTAAAAGCTGGTGTGAATTCTATAGATCTTCCAGCTTCCAGTTCAATCTCTTTAATTTGTAAATGAGGAAACTGAGAACCAGGAACCTTAAGTAGGTTCCTCAAGGTCACCTGGCTAGTTACCTTCAGAATGAGGAATATGACTTGAGTCTTCTGATTCTCACAGAAGAGTACTCTGTCTGCCGTACGGCGCCTTTATTGTGTGCACTGGAATAACAGCATTGGACTTGAAGCTCACTCAAGGCAGGTGCCATCACTTTACTCTCTAAAATACTTTCATGGTGTACTATAATTAGGAAGTATGCAGGCATTTTGTAAATGTTTAATTGAGGAATAAAATATTATCGGTCAATAAGTATTGAGATTTGGCTAATAGGTACTTAGGAAGAAAAATAGAAGGAATGAGCGGGTATAACTCTTATACCCTGGGAACTCCCAATTTGAGAGAAGAGGGACGTGTAAACCTAAGGAAGTAACACACGGATGGGGGAAAAGCCTTAGGAAGGCTTATTCTCGGCTGCAAATGACCTGAGAGCAGAGAGGGTGCATTGAAATACTGGAGGTGTTGGGAAGGGCGCTTTGATGGGGTGGAAAATTTTCACAAAAGAGCACCCATTCCCCCACTACTGCCTCCAAATATTTTATTTTTCGTTGTTATTGTCTCCTACTTCATATTCTTCTCTTATTTCATTGTCTGCAATTTACACTGGCCACTCTCCCCCATAGGCCAATGTTGTACAATATTATTAAATGAACTGATGAGCTCATAATTCCAAAAGTGATTCTCAGGTAGGAGTGGAGGGGAACTGAAATTAGAGTCATCTGGAGACCTTTCGAAACCTCTATAGAGGGTTCAAGATGGTAGAGTGATCCCAGGATTTTACCTTTTTCCCTTTCCAAATTTCCAAATTGACATTCTTATGAAGATGTAGCAAAAGAGATGTGTCTGCAACACAATGGAAAAAGAAAAGCAGGCAGGGCCGTCGTGCTGGGTGCATCAGAAAAGAGGACGTCTGAGCCCTAATCAGCCCGGGGAAGTGGAGCCAGGGGCAGTTCTGCCCAGAGAGACCACTCCTGAGCTCGGAGCAGGAGAGCACAGAGAGCCGGAGAGGGAGGGGGCCAGTGTGTGCAGCTGTGGCTGGGCTTATAAAGGGGCTGTGAAGAGTATTGCCTTCCAGAAAACACATTATTTAGTGTATATTCTAGTTATAAAGAGATGGTTTTTGACTGATTCTTGTATGTTGCAACTCACACGAAGGCTCTTACTCGCTGGTATGAGCAATAGTTGCAAAGGCCACATGGAGAGGGAGGTGGCTATATATTCTGAAGAAAACCTTCCTGGAGATAATGGTGGACCTCTCCTTGTCACTTCAAAATGATTGATTGAAAGAACCCTTGACTTGGATCCTTTTGTACAATAAATAACAACCCTTTAATGTACATTATTTTTTAAATCCTAATGTTCCTTTCCTCTCTTTTTCATTTGTATTCCCACGGTTACTGGTGAGGGTCCTGGGATGAAGGCAGAGTTTCCCATGTCATCCTTTCTTTACCTTTTGGGAAAGAGAAATGAGGGCCCAGCCGTGCATTTAGGACAAAAAAATTGTGTGGAAGTGTTTCCACTCAGTCTTGCTCCCAAATCAGCAAATACTTCTTTAGAACATGAGCCAGGAGGCAGTCAGCGAGGCATCGTGGAGCTCTTCACAACACTTCTCACAGCATGAACACGAAGAAAATGATAGTGGCATCATTGGGCTGATTGAAAGGGGTCTGGGTGTCCAGAGGAGGCAACTCTCAGCAGAAGAAAATGCTGGACTTCCTGCCTCAGCTCCACCGCCCAGCTGCCCACAGAGCCAGTATCTTAGGTTCTGGGGCTGAGAGGGCTGATTCTGGGAGGGCAGGACACTCTCACTCATGGCCCTTTAGCAGCTTAAAAGTTAGTTATGCAGGTAGAGTGCCTGGGAGAAAGCGAGGGAGGCTTATTAATTCTAAGTCCTGGAGGAGATATTGTTTGAACTGGTATGTGGAGGTGGTGGGGGTGGAGGAGGGGTGTGCTTTGATGTGGTTGGGGAGAAGCACGCGTTTGGAGTGTAGACTAGGAGTGAATTTCAATGCCACTATTTCTCTGTGATTGCTGACAAGTTCTGTACTTTCCCCACCCCTGTTTCCTCTTGTAAAATGAGGGTGAGTAATACCTGAATTTCAGGTCTCCCATTTCCCCCACCTCAGCCCACCTCCTTCCAGCCCCTGCACCCTCCTCCCTTATCCTTTACAATATTATTGCCTGTGTCCTTGGGCTATGCATATACGTTCTTTAGCTAATACCTTCATTTCCTTCATCTAGTCCCCTCTACCCTCTCTGCTCCCACATCTGTCCATCTGTTCCATGTATCCATGCCTCTGGTTCTATTTAGTTAGCCAGTTTATTTTGTTCATTAGATTTGTGGACACCATGTCTTAATATTTTTGCCAAATAAAACATGTTTACTACAACTTGTAAACCTATAGAAAGTTCACTGTTTCTGAAACATGGTTGCATATCAGAATCATCTGTGGAGCTTAAAAAATTGTCACATATCCAGGCCTAACCCCAGAGATGCTGATTAAGTAGGTGGGGGCTGTGGGTAGGTGCTGAACATCTGATATAAACTTCTTGACAAAGTGTCTAACCCATAGCCAAGATTCCTAATGAGTCTAACATAGGCGAATGTGTAATTTTTGTATGTCTTTGAAATAGAAAATCCTCAAGGACTCCTTGGGAACTCCAAAGGTAGCCACAGGTCAAGACCGTCCATAAGGTTCCTTGTGTTCTAGAAGTCTAGGTTAAATTTCACTAACTTTCATCCAAATTATAGTTTTTATAACCCTCATCCCACTAAAAAGAACAAGGGCTCCTTAGGGTTGTTTGGCTTGGGACTGGGGGCAGGAAATGTACATCATGAATCCAGGTCATCATGTTATCCCAGAAAGCAAAGAAACTGTCAAAGGCTACGAGGAACCAACTTGAAGAGACTCCCACTGGGTAAAGATGAGACAACATGAGCATTAATAATAATAACATCCCAGGATTAATATGATAAAATGTGGTTAATTTATGAGTTCTTAAAGATCTTGGACAAATAATCTCACTGGTTCTCTTTGGAGGATGCTCTGGAAACAGCTCCTAATTTTGAAAACCAGTCAATAGTCAAACATTTATCCTACCTTCCCTATATGAACCATACCTTTAAGAACCAAATAATAGCTGAGGAGAAATATCTCTGTATAGGACTAGTTCATCCAATAAATAAAGAATGGTAGAATTACGGCATCACTATTTCACAACTCCTAATGAAATAATGGATCTAAGAAATGCTCACCAATGGCTGTTAACATAAGGAAAAGAGAATATGCTAGATTTTGAGTCTCCTGCTGGAAGATGCTATATCATCTATGCACCATTCTTGCTAAAAAAACCAAACTTATATCTGGTCAAAACTCTAGATCTAATAATTAATTTATAGAGAAACATGTCAGCATGATGGGGACATAATTGATAAAATCCAAATTGTGGGAAAATCTACAGACCAAACCCTATTGATTACAGAAGACTTAAATACATATTAATTATAATATATAAATATTACTTGCATCCTTATGGGCGTACAACAAATATACAAAATTTATCAGACGACGATGGAAATTTCAACATTGACTAGATATTTGATGATTAGGGGATTATTTAAAAATAATTTAGGTGTGATGTTTTGCTTGTCTCCCGTGAAATTTCTTATTTAAGAGATAGACTTCAACATTTCAGATTAAAAGATATAAAATTTGAGATTTGCTTAAAAATAATGCAAGAATAGGGAGAGATATAAGAAAGAATGAAGACGAGATTGTCTGGGAGCTGATAATTTTTTATTCTAGGTGATGGGTACATAGAATTTGCCATTCATCTATTTAGGTATGCATTTGGGCTATTTCATTAAAAACTTACTGCCCGGTCGGCATGGCTCAGCAGCTGAGCATTGACCCAGGATCCAGGAGATGGTGGTTTGATTCCTGGTTGGGGCACATGCCCAGGTTGTGGGCTCGATCCCCAGTGGCAGGCATGCAGGAGGCAGCCGATCTATCTCTCTCTCTCATCATTGACATTTCTCTTTCTCTCTCTCTCCCTTCCTCTCTCTGAAATCAATAAAGAGATAGTTAAAACAAACAAAAAAACAAAAACAAAAAACTTACTAGCTGACCCTGGCCAGTGTGGCTCAGTGTTCAGAGCATAAGCCCGTGCACCAAAGGGTCATGGGTTCGGTTCCTGGTCAAGGGCACATCCCTAGTCCTAGTTGGGCGAGTGTGGGAGGCAACTGATCAATGTTTTTCTACACCCCCATCTCTTCTACTCTCCCTAAAAATCAGTGGAAAAAACATCATAGGGCAAGGATTCACCAAAACACCAGAACAAACAAAAAACCTTGCTAGCTGAATAGTAAATATCTGTAGGAAATTTAAAATTACTTTAGAATCTAAAATTGTTTTCTCCTTTTATAGATGGCGAGGAGGAGGCTGAAAGGCTTTACTCCGCTGGAGCTGATGCTCACTGCGCTCCTGCTTACCGTGTTCATCATCACGATTCCTCTCTTTGTGCTTTCCGCCCAAGAGTCTTTGAAACACAAAGGTAACAAGGAACTCGGGGGTTCTTCCACACGTCGCTCTTATCAGAGAGAAATCCTCGTAAATGGCAGGGAAGGGTGCTTCGTGTTCTTTGCCATGGTGGTGCATGTGCGTGCGTGTGCTGTATGTGTTGGGGAGCACCTGACTAAACTGTGGCACCTCAGCGGGGATTCATGGTAGGCCTAAGTTCTGACACATTAATTTCCCAATTAGCGCAGTGCAGGATTCCACAACTGACGTGAAATATATTTGCCAAATTTCATTGACTAATTAATTCTAGTTCTGTTAACACTAATAATTAACAATAGTAATGAGCAATACCCTTATAGGAAAGGCAGTCAAATAAGCATAGAGTCAATTAAAGTATTTTAGGCCAAAGTTTGGTTTCCTTAACAAACATAACAACTACCAGAGTTATTTTATTAAAAGTTAATTGTAAAGTACATGATTTATAACCACTTTGCTGTATGCCTGAAACCAATACAGAATAATATTGAATGTAGACTCTGATTGAAAAAAATTAAAAATAAGTTTACTGAACTGTTTTATTCTAAAAGAGAGGCTGGATTAAGCTGAGTTACCCATGATCTCTTACCCTTCCAAAGTCAATGAAGGGTCAGCCTGTGGCTAGAGGAAACATTCTTGGCCCTTCATCTCAGTCCCAGTCCTGGCAATGTCTACTTTCATGGGAAGTCAGATTAAGTAGCCTCAAAGTCTGTTCATTCCTTAAAATCCTGTGGTTGGAGGTGGAACTCAAGCCCATATGCAGAAACCAGCACAAATACGGTTCTTTTAATCCAGCACTTTTGAATTGGAAAAATGAAAACTAATTAAAAGCCTCATTGTTTTAGCTTAATGTCGTTATTACTTCACTGCAGCGTCTTAAAGAAATCTCACCTCCTCATATTAGGATGCATAAAACATGCCTTTTTACATTTTATTCATTTTTAAATCTGAATCAAAGCCCTTGGGCTCCCTTGACATTTTGTGTCAAATGAGCCTTTATGTGTCTGGAAGATTGCCATCACTCAGAAGTGTCCCCGGCCCTGAGGGATGGCCCTCAGAAGGCACTGCCTGTTGACTGAGTGAGCAGAGCTGAGGTTGCTGGGATTAGAGTGATGACACTCAAGACTACAGCATATACCAGGCATGTTCCGTGTGCAGACCTATGGCGACCCAGCCGCTGGGGCGGAAGCAAAGGACAGGAGCAGAGTCTGCAGACTTTTCTGTAAAGGGCCAGAGGCTGAATCCTCTAGACTCTGTGGGCCATATGGTCTGTGTCATAGGCCTTCATTCTGTCATTGTAGCACAAAAGCAGATACAGGCAATACACAAAAAACAGTGCGGCTGTGTCCCAGCAAGACTTCATCTAGTAATCAGGCTGTGACTGGATTTGGCCCCCAGGCCGTGGTTTACCAACCCCTGGCCTACAGAAGGAAGAGTCAGTTTGTGCCTTGGTGAGCTGCTGATTGAATGCAAGCTGGACTCCTTGTTCTTACAGCGCTACCCCACGGGGAGGGCCTCGGTGACAGACGGAGGTGACGCAGGTGTACATGGAGGCAAATGCAGTCGGCAGGAACAGAGAGGCTTTATAAAGCAAGTGCATTTCAAGGACATCGCAGTGAAGCCCAAGCAGTAGTGGCGTGCATATAACCAGAGCCACTGAGAACCATGGGGCTATGGAAGGCCTGTGATTTTAGGTCTGTCTGATGGTCACTTATATTTGCTTTTGGGATAATCCCAGGTTCTGCGCCAAGTACCACCCCTGCTCCTGCCGACTGCCCCGTGGTCAGTGAACTGGAGCGAATAAACTGCATCCCGGACCAGACACCCACGAAGGTTTGAATTCTGGGTCTTGTTTTCCTCGATAAGTTTATGCTTTTGGAGAGTTTTTTGTTTGTTTTCGTGTTTTTTGTTTGTTTTCTGTTTATCACTCCCGGAGGGCTGTCCACATTGCAGCTCTTGGTGGCTCGGGCAGGTTAATCCTGTGTCCAGGCCTGTATGATAGGACAGTTCAACTTTGGGAGAGGAAGAGCTGGAGCGTACTTTTGGGTTGACAGATTCAGCAAATAAAAGTGCAGGCTGCCTGGTTAAATTTGAACTTCAGATAACCAGTAAATGTTTTTTTAGGGTAAGTATATCCTCTGCAAGACTTTGGACTGACTTATACAGTAATGGTTTTGTCTTTTATCCCGCAACACCACTTGGTTGCTAGTTCTCTTGGATTCTGTTACTGTCCATTTCTTTCCCTTTCTCTGTCACTCTCCCTTTCTCTTTTTGCAACTCCAAAGGTTCTCTAGGATCTGCAATAAAAAGCCAAACCCATGCGTAAGACATTTAAAGTCAGGACAAAGCGTCCAGTGCCATGCTTGGGAAGATGCTCGTAAATGCCAGATTAAGATAGTGCAGGCATCTGGCTGTTTGCTTCAGGGCCGTATTTCTTGCTCAGCAGCAGGAGTCCAGCTAAATATGATAGTTATAAAATATACCGCACCTACCGTATCAGCCACCTTCCACGCTGAGAGTGAGAGAGAGCAAAAGACAGCCCCTGAGTGAAGTTCACCGGCGGAGCGGCGCCAGGCACAGCAAGGATGCTTGCTGCAGGTGACGCTCGGGCACAGGGCACTCACGCTTATCTCTGTGGCCATCCTGTTGTCAGCAAAATGGGACAGCATGTGCTGTCCTTGAGAGTTGATACTTTGACTTGTCTAAAAAGATCCTAGTACCAAAAGCCTTTTTTTTTTTTTAAATTTTCTTTTTTTCCCTTCTCACACTTCTGGGGGCTAGAAGTCCAAAATCAAGGTATGGGCGGGGTTGGTTCCTTTGGAGAGCTCTGAGAAGGACTCTGTTTCTTGACTCTCTCCTAACTTCTGCCAACAGCCGTCAGTTCTTGATATTCCTTGGCTTATAGCTGCATCACTCTAATCTCTGCCTCCATTGTCACCTCCCACCCCCCACCCCCCCGTATATACATCCAAATTTCCCATCCAATCCACCAGTCATATCAGACTAAGAGCCCACTCTACTCTAGTATGACCTCATATTAACTAATTACATCTGCAACAACCCTATTTCCAAATAAGATCACATTCTGAGGTGCTGAGGATCAGAATGTCAACATATCTTTCATGGGGACACAATTCAGCCCATCACGTGGACAAAGTCACAGAGGTGGGAACTGTGGAACATGGATATTGTTATAACTTGAGCCTTTGGTATTGAATGAAAAGGGTTATAGGCTGAGCCAGAGAGAAGTTAGGCAGCAGAGAGGGCACAGATGAGAGGTAAGTCATAGGATTAGATGGGCCGGGCCTGTGGGGAAGCTGGAAGTTAAGGCTGAGAAGGCAATCGGAGCCAGATAAATTGGAGTAAAGAAAATGCCTAGGAAATGCAGATCGGAGCAGAGTGATGGGACGACACTAGTTAGGAAGCCCCGAGGCTGTGTTGAAGGCCAGAGAGAGGTCCAGTCTGATAGACAGTTAAGGATCAGGAGCTCCCCAGGACAGGACAAAGCAGTGCCTGGACCGGCTGTTGGGGGCACAGCAGGGCTGCACACCTGCTACAGTGGGTGTCATCCCAGTTAGACCGGTTTCCCTTACCAAGACTCCTGCTGTGTTCACTCCCCTTCCTTCATGTGGCATCTTTCCCTGACCTTCCCTTGGGTCAGGGTACAGACTTGCCTGCCTGGGGTAGGAAGAAATGAGGCCGAAAAGAAAAGGTGGGTTTAGAATGTGCAAGACCTTGGGAGTCAGGTGTCAGAGGCTGGGTTTTGATACACAGCAGCTCGGGGCCGCCGTTTGAGGCTGAGCGGAATCATGTCATGAGAAACAAGGAGAGCCTAAAAAGCTTAGGAATAAAGGAAAAAAGATGAGAGGAGAAGGGAAACAAAAGCACTTCAGTACGGGACCAAATGCTACGAAGTTTAGCATTTTGGATTATAGGATTGGTTCAGCTACATATATCGTTTTTTTTCTTGTCATACATTCTAGTAGAGGAGATAAGCTAAGTAAGTAAATGACTGGGATATAAAACAAAAACTCATATGATCTGAAAGAGATATTGTGGGGATCAGAACCCACAGAAGATGTTATTATCAAGGAGAAGGTAACAGCCTGGAATTACAGATAAGTAGGATTTTGACAGAGATGGGAGGGATGGAAAGTGATTTCATGATACAAGAGATGATGTAAATTAAGTGACAGAAGAGGAAATTGTGGGGCACATATATGACAGTGAATGGCCCACTATGGCCCAGATCTAGCGTAGGTGCCAGAGAGGAGAATGTTTGAGACTGTAGCATAGATTGGAGCTGGACCTTAGAGGACCTTTAATGGGCTGCTTTGTCAGTGGGAATGGGAAGTTGTGGTCTAGACCTGTTGTGCCAGAACAGGATGCTTGGCACACTCGGTGTGCGGCAACCTGATCCATCCCCTTGGACTTGCCCCTGTCATCGTGTGTTAGGACACTGGTTGCTCAGAAGCCCACCCAGAGGACCAGGGCATCCTCAGTCTGTTCCCCCTCCTACCACACCTACCCCTTCTCCTTCCTGGCTACTGGTAAACCTCAGATGTCATTACTGCCTCCGTACTGTTTACTCGGTGTTTTATTATAAGAGCTTTTAGTAAATGCTGTGAGGTGAACTCCTCAGCTCCTCACCAAATCTGCTTTCCCCTCTCAACTATGAGATTCCCGGTAGTAGTTCTATCGTGCTTCTAGTCTCTGGGGCAGAAACAGCAGCACTTTTGCCTGGTTCTCTCCTTTGTCCCTTTGACCAGTGTTTCATGTGTTTTAAAACATTTTCCTTTACAGTATTTTCCAGAACAAGCGCCTCATTCCTGTTCTCACTGTGATCACACCAGCCACTGTCACCTCATTCTGGGATTATTCCAGTGGCCTCCCTGCATCTCTTCTGAATTCCATTTAGCCCCCATTTATTCCATTATATGCCTGATTGAAACTGCTGTCTTGAATGTCTTACTTTTATTATATTTCTACCTAACTTGAGCACCTACAGCATTCATGACTGTATATTGGGTCAAGTTCAAACACTTCACTGTGTTGTCTAAGATGGGTTCCAGGAGAGTGGGCCTGAGTGAGTCACCAGCCTTAAGTGTCACAGCTCAGAAACATAATTTATGAACCATACCTTGAGGCAAGATGGATGGTCCAAAAAGAGCCAAAGTGTGGGCGGCCTAAACCTGAACAGGAGAAGAAATTCTCAGCTCAGTTATAGCTGCTGATATTGCCCAAGTCTTTACATGAGGCCCATTTCTAGGGGAACACCCTTCCTTCATAGGACACCAGCCACTTCTGTTCTCAGTCCCCTTTGCTGATTCCTCTTTCTTTCTCTCTCTCTGTCTCAACTGAGGTATAATTGACACAGAACATTATGTTAGGTTCAGGTGTACAAAGTAATGTTTTATTTTAAAATTTGTATATATTGTAAAATAATCACCACAATAAGTCTAGTTAAACACCCATCACCATACATAGTTAACAAAATTTGTTTTTTTACTGTGATTAGTACTTTTTTCTTTTAATGATTTTTAAAATTTATTAGGGTGACATTGGCTAACAGGATCATATAGGTTTCAGGTCTGGATTTCTATGTCACAAAATCTGTATAGAGCACTGTGTGCCCACCGCCCAAAGTCAAATCATCTTCTGTCACCATATATTAGGTCCCCTTCATCTCCCACCCTCCCCACCCCCTTCCCTCTGGCAACCACCAGACTGCTGTCTGTGTCCATGAGTTTCAGTTTTATATCCCACATATGAGTGAAATGAGTACTTTTAAGATCTACTTTCAAATATGGAATACGTAATTGTTAACTATAGTCACTGTGCTGTATGTTACAGCCCTATGATTTATTTATTTTGTGACTGGAAATTTGTACCCTTTGATCCCGTTCATGATTCCTTCTTTTCTCTATAACTTCTAAATATAGCAAAATCTTTTGTCTGTCCACACTCAGTCCTTTGATGATTTCATCCAATGTCATGTCTCTAAATGGTAACCCCTGTGTGCCTAGAGGTGATGTGATGCCTCCAGCCTAAGTCCCGTCCCTGAATTCCACATTTATCTATGCAACTGCCAAATGAGCATCTCCACTCAGATGTCTAAGAAATACCTCAAAACCAACACGTCAAAACTGAACTTTTGATCTCCCACGCTTGTGTACACACTGAAACCTGCTTTTCCTGTAGCCCCACCCATCTCTATAGTGGCAACTGTTAACCTTTTGCCCCTTGCATTCAGAAAATATTACAATTTTAAGAAGAAAATAAAGGATCTAATAGAATAGTAATTAACTTATTTTCTACTTAGTTCTATAACTTTTCTTGGATTTCTACCTAGATATCATGTCTGAAAATAATGATAATTTGATTTTATCTTTTCAGTCTTATAAATTTTCTTTCTTTTCTTGCCTTATTGTATTGTTAGGCCCTCCAATATAATTTTAATTACGGGCAGTCATAAACATGGGTTGCCTAGGGTTTATTGTTCCTGGTTTTAAAGGGAATGTTTCTAACGTTTCACCATCTGGTAGACACCCATTATCCAAATAAGGAAGTTATAAGTTATTCCTCATTTGCTGAGAATTTTATCATGAATAGCTGATGCATTTAAATGATTATATGGTGTCCTTCCTTTAATAAGTCATTGTGAGGAACCACACAAGTGGATTTTTAATATTAAAGGATCCTGGTATCTCTGCAAAGAATACTTCTCTGTTGTTATTGAGCATGCTGCTGATTTCTGAAAAAGTCACACATCCTTTGTCTTTTAGGCCTTTGCATTTATGTTCATGGATGAGACCGGGCTCTAGCTTTCCTGATCCTTTTGCGTCTGACTTTGGTCTAAAATACTTCTCTGTTTCTTCTCCCCTTGTTTAAGTGTTAAGAAGCACCAGGGCTGGAGGAGCACAGGACTTGGGTAGAGCAGAGCGTGATTACGTCTTAAACTGTCTTCAGGGCCTGGCTTCCACCTGTGCGTGCAGTTCAGCCCCTCTCCCAGTGTTGGTGCCGGAGCCCATATAATTATGTAAAAAGTGAACTGTCTTCACTTTTTGTCTACTGTATCAGTTACTAAGGGAGCTCTTTAAAAACATGTCATCATGTATATCATCCTTTTTGATTTTCCCTTGTCATTCTTAAAATTTTTTCTGTATTTCGAGTCTTTATTATTAGCTGTATGTCAAGTCTCCTGGTGAATGAAACCTTCTATCATCATGTAGTGACTCAGTGTCTCCTTAATAATGAATTTTCACTTCGAGCCTATTTGTCTGATATTTCTTTAGTTAACCAGCCTTTGGTTAGCACTCTTCTCATGTGTCTATTTACCCACTTTTACTCTCAGTGAGCTTCAGTTTGGGGTGTGCCTCCTTTCAGCGACTTTAGCTGAATTTATTTATTTAAATGCAATCGAACTATCTTTATCTTTTAAACTACGTATTTCAAACATGGTGATTGACCTGACAATATTTTTTCTAAGGTCTCATTTTGCGTTTTCCATTTTTTCTGTTTTTTATCTACAGCTCCTTACCCCCTCCCCTCATCTACATGTTTTCTTGCCTTAAATTTTAAGATGTCTCTGAAATTTTAATCCTCATGCCCAACTTAAAGGGGCGTATTTGTGTCTTGGGTCTCCTCCTTGTGTGCCTTCAGTCCAGCTCGGGTTGTCGTGTTTTAAAGCTTCTCTCTCCACGTGTTTTCCTGGGTTTCACGTACTGTTTGCTCTCTCGTTTCCACGTGCTGTGCTCTGCTTCTGCTCGTGGCTGCTCGGCAACACTACTGAGGCTGTGTGTTCAAGTTGGCTACTCTTTGATCTCTGCCCTTTCCAGCTCAATGAAGAAATTCTTCAGCTCTGGGGAGCATACAGAAGCCATTGCGCTGAACACCCTTTTCAACACCTTCTCTTTTCCTGTTACACTGAAGTTTCATCTGAGTGGGTTTTTTAAGAAAAAAGCAAAATCTGCTGGTTGAAGTTGAGTTCACAGGGACACCTGACCCCACAGCAATATTAGCCGCAGATGGACATAGTTTTCCCATCCTTAATATTGGCTATTGGAATAAAAAATTAGCATTTGAGTAAATGTAATTGTTCATATATGTAAGCCATATCCTCCTAAAAATGTGTTCAACAGATACTCACTCCAGACTGTAGAACAAAGGAAATGGGTGGGAGAGAATGAAGGTTTGGTCCTAGCCTTCTCAATCTCTGAGTGACCCCTGGCCAGTCACATCACCTCCGTGAATCTTCACCTCAGGGGCCTCCGGTTCTTCATCTGTACAGTAGGGTAGCAGGATGTATTAGTTATCTATTGCTGTGATGCAAATGATCCCTAAACTTAATGTAATATGCACATGTAATGTACATTTAAAAGTCAAAGCAAAATCGATCTTGAAGCTTCTGAATAAAATCGATTGCAGAGTGTGTCCCCCCCCCTTTTCTAAAAGCCAAAACCTATATCTATGAAGCTCCAACTGTAATTTTGAGTTACTGGTGATATATCTATATTGTAGTTTAGAATATTAAATACATTTATCAGTTTTATTGTGATGATACATATGGGCTGCATTGCGGTCCCTAAATTGTTATATAATAACAATAACTGGAAAGGACATTTGCCAGAAAGACTGGTTTTGAGTACAAGCTCTGCATTGACGGGGACATAGCACGGCTTCTCTAAATATCAGTTCCCTTATTTGTAAAATGAAGTTAACNATATCAGTTCCCTTATTTTCAAAATGAAGTTAATGGTATCACAAGTGCAAATTATATTTGTAAATGACAGTGTTCTAGTAACAAATGGAGTTACTTTGGCTACATTTCTTTTTGCAGGCCACGTGTGAGCAGCGTGGCTGCTGCTGGAAGCCCCAGGGACCCATCAGTGTGCCCTGGTGCTACTATTCTAAGAGTCATGGCTACCAACTGGAAGGCAGCCGTACAAAGACAAATGCAGGTAAGCCCGACCAAGAGGCAGGAGCTCTGGACCCCCCAGGGATGGGCTCTGTTGGCCCCAGTGGAGAGCCTCAGCGACATGCGGAGATTGCTGGGTACAGCCATACTAATGCATGCGACCGAAGGTGGACTAGAATTTATTTTGGCATCAAGGAAAAATCACTCTGTCCTGGGACTTCAGGGACATACTCTATTCATGGCTCTCCCTTCAGGTACCTTTGTAACCTTACAAAAACGTCATCACTTTTCTGGTCCNCATACTCTATTCATGGCTCTCCCTTCAGGTACCTTTGTAACCTTGCAAAAACATCATCACTTTTCTGGTCCCCAAGTTTCTACTTTTTAAAGAGAGGGATTTGAACTCAGTAATCTGAGGCTATTTACAACTCTAACATAATGCGATTTTAACGATGTGAAAACAATTCCAATGTTTTCAACATTTTAGGAAAGTTAACCAATGTCTGTGCATGGAATAAACATCTCCTCTTTTCCCTCCCACCCTAAAATGCAGAGCATACTAATGACCACTCAGGGGACCCCAGAAGGGGACTACTTTGGGGAGGCTCTTAGCGTAAAGGAAANGAGCATATTAATGACCACCCAGGGGACCCCAGGAGGGGACTACTTTGGGGAGGCTCTTAGAGTAAAGGAAGAGTCATACTCCCCATCCGGAGGCTCTCAGCCTGTCCTGCTTTTCTAAGGTCTCCCCTCTCACCTGGCTTATGTAACTAGGGACTTGGCATCAATGTATATGATCACCTGTAATGTAGCATTAAAATAACCGGGAAGGAATATTGTATATATACAGATGGAGGGCTGAGAGTGTAAAGGGTATGTGATTAACACAGATGGGCTGGTGGAATGAGAGTTAGGCCTTGTGGTTTCCAATCACATTTTGTAGAAAGAGAGGCTACATTTCTTTTTGAGCCTATATTTCTTATTTTTGGATAAGGTGATGACAGTACCTAGCTTCAGACTCTGGTCCAACACTGTATAAGTGCATGTTGGGGCTATATGCCTATATCTTCCCTTCTTTGGGGAAAATAAAGGCTTTTCACCGGGCCCTTTGACATAAAGGTCAGTTTTTATGTGTCTATTTTTTGCGAATGTACGCAGCCAACTATGTAAACCTTTCTCCTTCTCTGCATTAGGATTCACAGCCCAGTTGAAAAGGCTGCCGTCTCCATCCCTGTTTGGAAATGATGTCAGCAATGTCCTTCTCACAGAGGAATATCAGACATCTAACCGTCTCCACTTTAAGGTTGCGGATTATTTATTTTTTTAAAAAAATCTGTTTCGAGAGGTTCTTTCCTATTTGATAACTGCAGTTACTAGAAAATAGAAAATTTTGCTAATGGAGGTATTTTCCTCCACTGTCATTATTCTTACTTAGCGCCTGTATGCCCAAGGCATCCATAGGCCTCCTTCAGTGTGATAACTTCCTAAATAGATATTACAGAGTTTCCTAGTGAGCTTTGGTTGTCATTTATTTGCCCTTAATACCATGTGAAATGTAGCAGGGAGGGAACATATTATCACTTCTTTGAAAGTTCTAGAGATAGTCCATGTCTTCAGACTTGGAGTGTATATTTCTATCTAAGGGCCAACTTGTGAATTTGATGATATAATGTATACATGTACCATAGACATGCTATTTGCATTAATGCCCGAGTTCCAGGACCATGAGCACAGATATTGGGAAGCACTGGTGTTTGGTAGGGATGCTTCTATTTTGAGAATACAGAGACGTTTTCTTTCTCTTCCTTCACCTCTCTGGACAGTTAACTGACAAAGACAATGAGCGGTATGAAGTGCGCCATGAACATGTCCAAGCCTTCAAGGGAAATGCTGCCTCTTCCCAGGCCTACGAAGTCCGCGTCTCCAGTTCACCATTTAGCATCCAAGTGATCAGAAGGAGCAACAATCGTGTCCTGTAAGTTTGCAAAACCTACCTGGGGAACTGAGTAGGAAGGGGAGGGAGCATCGCCAGCCTGAGGAAAGGTGCATTTCAACAATATTTTTGAAGGCTGTGAGCACCTGTTGGAGACTAGACTCTCCACTTCCAAATGAATATGCTTTTTCTCTGCCTGCCTTCCTTTTCCCCCCACCCCCTTTTTTTTATTGTTACTAAACATGTATTATAGACCAGTTACTGGGCTATGCCCTTCCCCCCTTTTTCCCTTTCATTTATCTAATCACATTCTTCCACCAGTAACTGTTTATGGAACATCTACTCTAATGTAAGAATAGGACTCAGGCCATGTGATAGGGTGTCTGTGGGACAAATCTAAGAAACCTGCCACATGGTACCTGCCCTCAAGAAGTCCTAATCTCTTGGCATCCACAGAAAAATGTCACAGGAGGACAAATGGGGCCAGTTAAGTGGGGGTATTGAGTCCTTGACACAGAGAGACCGCTTTTCCAAGCAGAGCTGTGTTCTCTCCACCCCACTTGCCCACCCGTCCCTGTGTTTTCTATCTGCGTCTAGGCTTGACTCAAGCATCGGGCCCCTCCTGTTTTCTGACCAGTTCCTGCAGCTGTCCTTCCGACTGCCCAGTGCTAATGTGTACGGCCTGGGAGAGCAAGTGCACCAGCAGTACCGCCATGACATGACTTGGAAGACCTGGCCCATCTTCGCCCGGGATACAACCCCCAATGGGGTAAGCTTTCAGGATGGCTGCTCTTCACTAATAGTGGAGCCTCGTTCCTGAGGGTCACTCCCAGCAGCACAGTGTAATGGTTAAGACTAGGGTGCTGGGGTGAAGCTGTCTGGGTCTGAACTCTGGCACTGCCAGGCACCAGTTACGTGGTTCTGGGCAAGTTACCTCCTTGCGTCTTCAGTGTTTCATCTATAAAATGGGGGCAATATACTTATCTCATAGGGTTGTGATGGGAATTAAATTAATTGCTACATATAGAGTCTCTAGAAGAGTGTCTGCCACATAGGAAGTGCTGTTAAAGTCAACTACTTTTCATTACCTCTCCCTTTTGAACGAACTAGTTCTGGAGGAAACATTACTGACATTGACTCTGCACAATACGTTTGTTCTGATCTCCACATGAGAGGCTGACGTTTATAAATCACCAATTTACCACGCTTGTCAGCAAAACAGGATAAAATATCAACTAAAATACTGTAGTGATCACTCTTTGTAAGTTTGGGGCAGTGAAAGAGTAGAGTTTTATTGTTGTTGCTATTGATTTTTCTTTTTTTCTTTTGCTTCTTGGTTTTGACAAAGCAGAGGTCTTTTCTAGACTCAGCAATCAGCCACTTTCCTGACTAAGCGGAACCAGAGGCTGGATGAAAAGGGATCATGGAATAATTTATTGTCTATTTTTATGCATTATTACTATTTACCTAAAGAACTTTGAAAAAAAAAAAAGTATAATTTACTCCATTTAACAGATGAGGAAACTGAGGCTCAGAAAAGCCAAATAAGCCCCCATTTTAAAAAAAGTTTGTAAGTAACAGAGAGAAGATCTCATCCTCAGCCTTTTGACCTTAAAGCCATGCTCCTTACTATACACATGCCTATCAGAAAGACAGAAAAAGAGAAAAGATGTTGAGTCAGAGCAGCTCACTGGGAAATGGCTGGTGATGGCTCTTGATTAAGGAGTCCTGGATCCTTGCTACTTGAAGTGTCCAGCAGGGGCACCACTATGTGAGAAGTGTGGGCTCTCAGCTCCCTCTTCTATCTACTGAATTATGATCCACATTTAACTAAAATTCTTATATGATTTGTATGCACACCAAATTCTGAGAAATTCTATGCTAGAGCAGTGATTCTCAAACATGACTGCAGATTGGAGTCACCTAGGGAAGGTTAACAAACCATCAATGCTTGCTTTCATCCACAGGGATTCTGTTTTAATTGGGCTGGGATGCAGCCAGGGTTGGGAACTACTGTACTCTTCTAAGGTCTAAAAGACCTGCTCAAGTTTTAAAGCCTACTGTTATAAAGACTAGGAGACCAGATATCTCAAGGAGACCTCCATCTAGTTGCACATTAGAAAGGTGCCTGACTCATATTAAGGCTCGATGGAGCTTTTGCAGGTGGGGTTAGGTCAGGTAAGACAAGAATCTTTGAGAGGAGAGCTCTTGAGAACTTCAGGTATCACAAACTCTCAGGTGGCTCATTCAATGAGGGAATACTTTTTCACTTGGTTAGCATCAACCAAATATTGACCTTATATTTGTAAAGTTTAGTTGTGTCTTTCACCATGAGTTCCCTGTCATTTACTCCCACGATTAACACCGGTTTCCTAAGTCATTTCTGGCCAAGTGGAGTTTAGACTACTTAGATTATAAATTTGTGGTTTTTCATTATCTTTCTGCAGGATGGAAACAACTTGTATGGTACCCAGACGTTCTTCCTGTGCCTTGAAGATGCTAGTGGATTGTCCTTTGGGGTGTTTCTGATGAACAGCAATGCCATGGGTAAGGGGCTAAAGGGATATTCATAAAAAAAAATGCATCAGAGCAATCTCCAGCCCCTTTCTTACAGCATGGTGATAAAAGGAATGGAGCCCTTTAGGAATGGCCGAGCCATAGCTTAAGGCCTTGTGTTGACATACAGTCACCATGAGTAAGGGTTTCTGGTCTAAATCTTTGTAATTATTACTCTAGAATAAATTTTAATTTGTATTTTCTTCATTTTTAATCCATCAGAGGTTGTCCTCCAGCCCACACCAGCCATCACTTACCGCACCATTGGGGGCATTCTGGACTTCTATGTGTTCTTGGGAAACACTCCAGAACAAGTGGTCCAAGAGTATCTACAGGTAAACTTATATCATGACAATGACTGAGAAAATCCTAAATAGCGCAAAGCAAGTTTAAAGTGCAATTGCGACTTATGAAAATCTGCTGTTATAAGTAGCTGTCGTCAATCTGCTATTGCCAATTCATTCTACCCTCAATGATCTATAAGGAGACCAGGAAAGTAGACCAACAGTCAACATCAATGAGAAAGTGTGTTGGAAAATGGAGTATGTTTTGTGCCCTTAAACCAACGCTTAGTAAAGGTTTTATTAAAAATAGGGCATTTTCTAATTTTTATTTCAAATATTTCTTTCAGCTCATTGGACGGCCAGCCCTACCTCCATACTGGGCCCTTGGATTCCAACTCAGTCGTTATGACTATGGCACCCTAGAGAACATGAAAGAAGTTGTGGAGAGAAACCGGGCAGCACAGCTACCTTATGTAAGCGAGGTTTTAAAAAATCCTCCAAAAATAAAAGAGTACCCTTGGGGAATAAGAATAATTGTTTATAATTTCTCCCCCTGAGTTTTTAAATATATATGTAATGTAAAGACTTTTATATACTTAGAGTGGTAGACTGTTTTGTTGGGCCAGCCATTCTTTCAAGGACCTGGTTCTTTATAGTAGGAACTAGTACTTACAGACCACAATTATGGGGTTAGGAGGCAATCTGTTGTCTCTTTTTTTCATATCACATTTTTATTAGTAAAGTTTTCCTATGCTTATTGTATTAACTACATTTCATATAATGCATTTTATTTACATATTGCATTTCATTCTCAAGGCTTTTCCTAGTTTAAGTGAGCAAAAGGATACATGTAATAAAATATTGTTATGTTTCGAATGGCTAAATTTGAGTGTGTCTGTTGTATAATGCAGAGTGAGGTTTTACAAGTGACACAAAGGGAAAGCCGGCTAATCTCTGGAATAATCCTCTCCTCTCCCTTCTCAGCCCCTTGGAGGCAGACACCTAGGTCTTAGAGTAAGAGTCAATTTCATTCTGGCTCCACTATTTTCATGCAGGTTCAACTGGGGAAAAATAATCACCAAAGAAGCCTTGAAGTAGAAATGCAACACCACAGAATGCGGGTGGCGAAATGAGGGAGAAGACAGCCCCTTCCCCCCCGTTATCTTGTGGATGGGGCAGAGTTTAGGGCGCCACTCTGTTTCTGATAGCTTTAGTGATTTGTTGCATTGTTGTGGTTTTTTTGTTAGATTGGTTCTTAGTGCCACTGGCCAAGCAACAAGGTGGGATGATAGGTTAGCCTGATTCCAGGGGTGGGCTCAGGCCTTAGGGAAACAGTGGAGCATTTGCCTTGGAGTTACCATTGGAAAAAGAAGCACTCAGAGGCCAGGGACTGATTAAGGACCCTGTTTAGAGCCCAGCACAGAGTCAGTGTGCACCCTGAATAATAACAAGGGAAGTTGGGCTGACTCATTTAACCGGGAAATGCCCAGGCGCTAAGCGGCAGACCTTGTGTGCTCTTTCAGGATGTTCAGCATGCCGATATTGATTATATGGATGGGAGGAAGGACTTCACTTACAACCCAGTAGACTTTAAAGGCTTTCCTGAGTATGTTAAGGAGCTGCACCGCAATGGACAGAAGCTGATCATCATTGTGGTATGTGCCATCCTCAATTACCCTCAAATTCGGGACTTTCTCTTTCTTGTCAACACACCCAGCTCCCCTTCCTTCATTCCCCAATTGCCGACCCCCTTTCAGTGCCTCTAACTTAAAGCTCGGTCTTTCATTGCCTTTTCCCCCTTCCTAGGATCCGGCTATCTCCATCAACTCTTCCTCAAGTAACCCCTATGGCCCCTATGAAAGGGGTTCAGACATGAAGATATGGGTCAATGCTTCAGATGGAGTGACTCCACTTATCGGGGAGGTAACTCAGTGCCGGAGCTGGGGGATGGTGGAGGGGCTGTGTGTGTGTGTGTGTGTGTGTGTTTGTGATTGTTTTGTTTCACATTTTCAGGTGCTTTGTGTATGCTGGGGCTAAACTTTCCCTGTCCTTTTGTCCCCAAATACCAACCACCCCAGCTCTGACATTCCCTTCACAGCCAAGTCCCTTTACACAGCAGCCCCCATGGTGACTACCCGCTCCCTCACCCGCATCAGCCGACTGCAGTCTGCTTCCTTCCCCATCACTACCGCTCCCGCTCGGGCAAATGGCCCCCGTTAGCCGCTAACCGCAAATCCAGTGGACTGTTTCACCCCTTTTTCTTACTCGATTTCTCTATAGTATTTGACAAGTTTTACGACTTCTTTTTATTTGTTCTTGTTTTCCATGAAGGTGTTACCTGCTGGTTTATTTCTAATACCTCCGCAGACCCAAGCACCTAGCTTCTGAGGGGAGGCGGGTAGGAAAGGAATAGAGAAGGGCAGTGGATGACCAGAACCCGCAATTTGTGATGGACCAGCTGAAATGTGCACAGCACTCTCCCTCACTTATCATTCCAGAAGAGGGAGCAGAGAAAGTGAGAGGGAAGGGTGAACCGGAGCTGAAGATCAGCAAGGACTTAACCAATTTTTTACAAGGAGTTTTTCCTCAAGTGACTGTTTGAATCCCCCTGACACTTATTCTAGGTATTTGTGGTGCTTCACATTCCTGAGAACTTGTGCTCAGGCCCCTCTGTTGCCTTGATCATATTAGGAATTTTTTCCCCAAAGGACTCTCCTTTACTCTATATTCATTTAATTTACTCTGATTAAATTTTTTTTTTTCTTCTTATGCAGGTCTGGCCTGGAAAAACTGTGTTTCCGGATTACACCAACCCCAAGTGTGCTGTTTGGTGGGCAAATGAATTTAAGCTTTTCCACAGTGAAGTGGAGTTTGATGGGATCTGGATTGTGAGTTCTCAATGTTTTGATTATTAGGTGACTAATATTCATTAGGTGACCATATCTATGTCTTGGAGCATAGTGGGGAGAGAAGGACCGGAAAGCAAGTATGTCAATAATTCTAAGCATTTCCTATTTTGTGTGTGTTACGTGTGTTGAGTCAGCTCTGACTCCTGGCGACCCTGTGAATGAGTGACGTCCACAATGTCCTCCCTCAACAGCCCTGCTCAGTTCCTGCAGACTCATGCTTATGGCTTCTTTCATGGAGTCAATCCATCTCATCTTTGGTCTTCCTCTTTTCTTGCAGACTTCTGTTTTCCCCAGCATTAATGTGTTTTCCAAAAAACCCTGCCTTCTCATCGTGTGTCAGAAATACGACAGCTTCAGTTTTGTCATTTTTGCCTCCAGTGATGTTTCAGGCTTAATTTTCTCTTGTCGATCTTTCTGATGGTCCACGGTATCCATAGAGTTTTCCTCCAGCACCATATTTCAAATGAATCACTTTTTTGTTTTTCTTATCGGCCTTCCCCCCTGTCCAACTTTCTCATCCATACATGGTAATTGGAAATACAAAGGTATGGATGGCCTTAGCTTTGGCCTTTAATGACGTATCCTTGCTCATGATGATCTTTCCTAAGTCTTACATTGCTGCCCTTTGAGTCTCAGCTTTCTCTTGATTTCTTGGCTGCAGTCTCCGTTTGAATTGATGACTGAACTAAAGTGAACAAAATCTTTAACAAAGTCAATGTCTTCATTGTCTGTGTTAAAGTTGTGTATTTCTTCTGTGGTCATGATTTTTAGCTTCTTGATGTTCAAAATCCCTGTCTTTCTATCAAATAACCTTACCAAAGCACGTAGCTCAGAATCAAAATCTGGTCATTAGAATTATAAGTAATCAGTTTTTTCCCCAGTCCAGCACTCCTTTTACAAATGAATGAGCTGACATAGAAATAGTTCATGTACTCCTCACATTGTCACAAGTAATACATTTTTCAGTTGCCAGTCCAGGGCCCTTGCATTTGGAGATATTGGACAATTTGATCTGAGCTAGAGTATCCAGGCACATGGCAAAGATGTGACTGCAGTAAGGACAATGTCTCATATATTGTCAAATGAAAAAAAATGCAAAGTAACAGATGTTCAGCAAAATTTAGGGAGCTCTAGAGTTGAATATTTTTTTTCCCTGTTTATAAGAGAAATGTAGAGAGTTCAAACAATACAGAGAGCTAAAAAGATGAAAGCAAAACACTCTAAAATGATATCAACCAAAGACATATTTTGGTACATATCTTCTGGACTCCTCATTTGCACAGCTGTTGGCATGTGCTTGCTCTCTCACTCTTTCTGCTTTTGTATATGTTTTTATATATTTGTTTTTGTGTGTGTGGATTCATAGCTATATTTGGATATACAGAGAATGTACAAGCTGACATACATGGAATCATATAAATTGAAATATTTTTTCACCTAATGTGCTTGGAAAGTTTTCATTGTCAGTGATTATAGGCATCTATAGTTTTGAAGGGATTTTTAAGAACCGTCTCCGAGAAACCTTCAATGTATAGAGAAGATATGAATATCTATTCCTCTCCATGTACATAAGAACCTCTTTAAAAAATATATCTGGTATCATTTTTCTGATTCCTCAACAAAAGACACCATTAGTACAATATAAGTTGGTGTGTTATTTTTTTTAGTTAATCTCTTTTGTTCTATGTTTTGTAGGATATGAATGAGATCTCCAACTTTGTTGATGGTTCAGTTTCAGGATGTTCGACAAGCAATCTAAATTATCCCCCATTCACTCCCAGTAAGTCTTGGTGGTTTGTCTGATTAAAGTGGCAACGGTTATTTGATACTTTAATTTCATAAGGATAGATATGAACAACTTGGCAAGGGAGTTTATATGTAAGAGCTCACATAGAAAAAATAATGTGGGAAATTTAAAGAAAACTAAAAGAAAATCAGAGCACTCCATGCTATCCTAAAGGAGGCATCAATTCAAAAGGGGCTATCTAGTCCTTCTACCTATAGTCTGACTTGTTTCTAGGGGAAGGTCTAGAGAAGATGTGGTACAGAAATCAGAGGCTAGTCATTGGTCTGTGTTGCTCTAGAGGGTACCCCACAGGTTAGGACTCACCAGAGAGAGACCAGATAATGAGGCTTGGTCTTCAGATGAGGGTCATGGCTGGTGATATCACAAGTGTGAAGAACAGACCTGAACCATAGGATAAACGGAAGCCAGAACCCATGGCTTGGGAGGTCACAGTCCAAGTCAGTGAATATGTTGTAAATGAGCTCTGATTGAACTTTGAACAGCACTATCTCTCGGGGTGTGACCTTGAAATCAGCATTTATTGGAGAGGCTTCCTGACAAATTGTGTCTTGATTAAGAAAGGAACAAGTTACTAGAATTATAGCATCTTACAAATACTTCCAATCTGGTGGGAAAATAAGAAATTGGAGCAGATGTGTCAAAGTCAAACGCTGAAGGAATTGGATGGAGGCTAAACAGTCACACTTTATTTTTGTGTGTGAGAGGATCTGTTTATGTTTTAATAAGAGGGAAATATGATAGCCTAATTGTTTTAGAAGTATTAATCTGGCATTAATATGCAGTGTGGATTAGAAAAATCAATCGGTCAGAAGTCAATAAGCCATTAAGAAACTTTTGCAATAGTTAGGATCCAAAGGTCATTTGGATCTGAACCAGAGTGGTGCAATTAGAGATAAAAGAGTAGATGAATGAAAGAGAAATTGGGCAATCATGCTTTATAATATCAGGTCAATAGAGAGAAGGCTTGAGAAATTAATTTATACTATCATCCAGTATTTATATTTTTGAACCACTTAACTTAGCTGAGTTCGAAGAATTCAGGTTGAATCTCAAGTCTTCCTGGATCCCCTTGCTTCCAAATGCCCGCCTCTAGTCACATGAGCCCCCGAGTGGGAGGATGGGTATGGCCAGCACAATTGCTTTATACATCAGGGTAACAACCCCTCACGTATGGCCTTCTGAGAGTGAGGAAGGTGTGGTCATTTACAGGATGGCCACAATAACTGCTTGTCCAGGGATCGCCATGTCAGCTTCTGTGACAGTCGAGGTGCAGGCGCTCACTCTCTGACCCCTCTCTGGTCCCAGGAGTCCTGGATGGGTACCTGTTCTGCAAGACTCTCTGCATGGATGCCACGCAGCACTGGGGCAAGCAGTACGATGTCCACAACCTGTATGGCTACTCCATGGCGATTGCCACGGCAGAGTAAGGCCACTGTTGCATGGACTTCCTACGTGTCACACTCGATCTTGCTAGATGCCAGGTGCCAGCGTGTTACTTTTAAGAACTTCGCCAGATGAGGATGGTTATTATTGCTGAATGAATGAAGAAACTACGTAGCACATAGGGAAGAAGGAATCCAATAAATATTTATGGAATGTGTGTAATGGAAGAATGGATAAATAAATGAATAAATGGAAGGTCGGAAGAAAGAAAGAGAAGTAACCTGACCCAGGTCAAACAGCTAATAAACTGCAAAAGCAAAATTTAAGCCCATTTCTGCATGAGTCCTAGGCCCATGTATTTTCCTTTGCATGAGTCCTAGGCCCATGTATTTTCCTCTCTGTCACACTGTACTGACTGGAGGATGGATGGTTAAGTAATTCAGACTTCATGTGCTTTAGGGTTTTAGATGCTGGCTCAGCATCCTTCTCCTGTGCCGTGTCTGCCTTTGTGTGTGGACTCAAATTCTATAGCGAGGAAAAGGCATTGAAAATTTATTCTATTTACTGCAACTGTGACAGAAGGAGGCCAGAGCAAAACCACATTCGTTCATTAGCACAGTAATGGTGTAATTTTAGTGTTCTTGAAAGTTGTTGAAAAAATTATAAAGCAAATGTTTTTAAGAATATAATAGACTTCTTATTTTAAAAATACAGATGATATATATTTGTATTTACTTATAAAATTACCCACAAAGATACATGATTTTAAAATGTCTTTTCTTATTACAAAATTGTGACCAAAGTATTTCTATTTAAAAGAATTTAAGTTCCAAGAAGAGGTTCCTAAGTTCATTTTTGTGTATGTGTAAAATCACACCATGTGAAAGACCAATGTTCAGGATGGGGCAAAAGTAGGTCTACAGTTGTCCATATGAAAAATAATACAATAATTAATAAATAATAATACAAGAATAAACTGTTTTGCGTACTCACAACTGTAAACCTTCTTTTGCTCACCTGCATATATACAGCCATGTAAAGTTAAATTTTGCCTTTGTTTCTTAAAGATTGTATATCTCTAGTTACTAGCCTTTTCAAGTCCACTTTGAAATTATGGAATTATTGATGCACATAAAAATCCTTAAAACAAAACAAAACATAAATACCCTTAATAGTGCAGTCTGCTCCCATCAGCAACTCTAACCCTGCTGGCAGAGAACTAGAAGGGGCGAGTGGGGTGTTGGCTTCTGAGATCCTTGGTGTACGTTGCTGGGCTGAGACACACTAAGGCCACACATTGTTTCCTGGGTCTTTCCCTTTCTAGAGCTGTCAAGACCGTGTTTCCTAATAAGAGGAGCTTCATTATAACCCGTTCCACCTTTGCGGGGTCTGGCAAGTTTGCAGCCCACTGGTTAGGAGACAACGCAGCCACCTGGGATGACCTTCGATGGTCCATCCCTGGCATGCTCGAGTTCAACCTTTTTGGAATCCCAATGGTGAGTCCACATTCCCAGCTCTCTTACAAACCTCAATTCCCAGAAAGTCTCATCCTAGAAAGTTTCAAATCGTAAGTTTCCCCTCTCCTACCCTCCATGGCCCAGGGGTTTCATGTCTTGAAAGTATGAGCTTCATCTGCATCAGCATGGCTCTGATGCCACATTCTTCCTTGTATCGCCTGATAAAGACAGAAAATTCACCCTTGAAGTGATATCATTGGAATGTTTCTTTTCATTAAAGTATAACATACACGCAAAAGAGAGCACATATCCTTAAGGATACAGTTGATGAATTTCACAGATTGAATACATCCATGTGTACAGAACCCAGATGAGGAAACATAACATTACCAGCACCCTAGAGGTGGTGTTGGCATCTTTTAGTTAAATTCAACAGATGTCTTTATTGAGCTCCTACAATGTGCATGGTACTGAGTTAGGTATGCATGGTGAGGGTGGAGAAAACCATATAGTAACATAGACGCCTTTTCTTTCCCCAAAGAGTTTATAATTTAGTAAGAAGAGACATATATAAACAAACAGTTAAACAAGCTGGGGTAAATGTGCCAACAGGGACATTCAACTGTTAAGGAAGATCCTGAGAAAGGGACTTATTAATTGTGACAAGATTACAAGGGACAAAGGAGGTCAGGGGAGGGGGTCAAGAGAAACTTCATGGAAAAGATAGTGCTTGAGTTTAACCTTGAAAAGTAGGTATATTTTATCTGACTCATGGGGGGAGGCGGTTTTAATATTGAGAAATAAATGTGAGCAATAGCAGTAAGCGGGAGACCTTGATGGATCTGTGAGGGTTGGTGAGCAGGACTGGAATGGGAAGTGATGCTGGAAAGGTAGGTTGGAGCCCGGCTTTGAGGGGCTAATAGAATTAGCTGCAAGGAGATCCTGGACATCTTTGAACAGGTGAGTGGCAGTGTCAGATTTAAGCTTTGGAAAAGTAATTCTGATAATAGTGTGGTCAAAATAATAGTACCAGAAGTATTTCTAGTAACTATTTATCAAAAAGCTATTGTGTGTCAAGTGTTTTACTTACATTACTTCATTTAGTAAAACCCTCTGTAGCTAATTAGTACCTACTTTAACAAAGTGGGAAACTGAGGCACAGGAGAGTTAAGTAAGTTACTCAAAGTCACCTGGCAATAGAATGGACGCAGGATATAACCCGATTCCATCACGCTGTATTAGCCTTGTCAGTAAGAGGTTAACCAAGCTCAGCTGGGAGGTCCCTGGTAGAAAGCAAAGCGGGGTGTACTCCTGAGCAGTCTGCGTGTCCTTCCAGGTGGGTGCTGACATATGTGGCTTTGCGCTGGATGCCCCCGAGGAGCTCTGCAGGCGGTGGCAGCAGCTGGGAGCATTTTACCCATTTGCCAGGAATCACAATGGCCAAGGCTACAAGGTAAGTCTCTCAGGACCAACATAAATTTGGCATATGTTAGGAGATAGGGTGATTTGGCATACATTAGGACCACATCTATGGGCATCTAAGGAATATGCTGAGCCGTTCTCCCACCGGGTGCTCAGTCAGGCTCATGTGAGCCACTGTGGCCAAGGAAATGGCGAGTCGGTGAAGGTTTCTCTCCTACCTCTGTACACTTGATCTCCATTGCTGATTCTATAATGAGCATCAGATGAGAAGTGCTTCAAAATTACTGAACTGGCCGTCTCCCGAGAGAGCACTCCTGAGCAGCGGGTGAAGGGGGCTGAGCTGCCCGGTGAACGGCCACTTACTTGGTGAAATGATCTCCCTTTGCCCATCTGTACTGACCAGAGGCCAAGTTTTCAACCTACGCCGCAGATCATTCGGGCAGGAAACTCTCGGTGGTGACGAATGAGGTCTGGAATTCTCCAGCTGCTTCTGTTACTCACGGCCAGATCACATGTGCAATGTCGTCTTTCCTTCCAGCCCCAGGACCCTGCCTCCTTTGGAGCCAACTCTCTGCTGTTGAATTCGTCCAGGCACTACCTTACCATCCGCTACACTCTACTGCCCTATCTCTACACGCTCCTCTACCGCGCTCACAGATGGGGGGACACGGTGGCCAGGCCCCTTCTGCATGAGTGAGTCCACCTCACCCAGAGGACTTTTGTTAATGCAGCTGGGTGACATTGACTAAATCATCAAATATAGCAGTGAAAATGGAAACAATTCAGAGTTATTTATATAATGGAAAACCCAGTTAGTGTTTGCAAGGCTATTGTTGCCTAGGGGTATATTTAAATATTTGTGGTCTGTTCTGTTTTGGGAAGGAAACTAGACTAAATGTCATGGGACTGGAGTCTTTTCTTTGTACTGTGACAAACCAACTCTATCTTAGACACATCATTTTAGTTCTTTTATCCGTTTAGTTTCTTTAATATCAATTTAAAGGATTTGGTAGCTTAAACTTGATGGTCTCTTTTGTAATGCATTATATTCAGGCTCTGGGACTTAAGAGGCTTTCCCTGTCAAAATACAGTTAATGTCCTTATGTGTCTGACATTTTAGGCCCTCAGGCACATATCTGCTCTATTTATATATTCAGGATTTTGGATACGTTTTTGCCATCTTTTGCAATTCTTTGTTATAAGGTGGGTAACCCAGAAGAGAAAAGATGTTGGAACAGGAACTTCTGTCCAAGCCGGGGAAGAACAGGAGAGCACATGGGCTGGGGAGAGAGGGTCTCTCTGCAGGAGTGGGGACATGCGAGTTGAATAGGTGTCATAGAATAATTTGGGGAGGGTGGGCCCTGGCAGGGAGCCTGTGTGTTTTGGACACTCTGAGGGGGAACCTTCCAGGAAGCATTGGCCCTCATCTCAGCGAACGTCTCTCCAATCTCCAGGTTCTACGGGGACAGCAGCACGTGGGATGTGCACCGACAGTTTCTGTGGGGGCCGGGTCTCCTCATCACTCCAGTTCTGGAAGAGGTAAGTGTCCCATGGAGACACACTGGTGGTCTCTGCTTCCGTTCCTACCGCCCTCTCCTTGGAACCATTTCTCTTTATTCCAGACCCATTTTCAACATCTTCAGTGAGTCTCGAGATGATGTTCTGGGGGTTGGGGAAGGTGGATATTAGATACTGGCACATTTTTTTTCTCTAGAAGTCTTTTTTCTTGACCAAGTTCCCAGCCAGGGTAGAAGCATCTACTGGTGACTCTGGGTTTAAGAATGGTCCTATTTGTTGTCAGATCCTCAGAGCAGATCATTACTTGCTTCGTGACCCAGCATCACTCTAAAATCAGGCCGAGCAGGGTGTGCTTGGTGCCTGTGCCCCTTAGTACCAGTGTGATCTGGGTACGAGACTTCATGCTAGTGCCTCCGCTGTACAGGGGAGGTAATAGTCATCCCATCCCTGGGGACTGTTGTGGAGTGTGAATGAGAGATGGTCACTATCCAGCTGGAATTCTCACCACAGCAGGCTTCAGTATTGTCATTGTTCCTAATGTGGTTCCATTTAGGACTTTTTTTTTTTTTTTTTGGTTGCCAAGTTATTGCCTTTTAGTCCTATTAGAAGAAAGGCATGATTTGATAACAGGGCCGAGAAAAGTCATTTACATGCTCTCTCTTTATCTTTTTAAGAGAAATACCTCCTCCTTATATATATTTATTTTTTAAATGATTTTTTTCTTTTTTTATTGCAGTTATTGGGGTGCACTCTCAGTATATGGTTAAGAAGTTCCGTAGGGAATGCTGGGTATTTAATTGGTCCCTTTCAGAGGCTGGGCCATGAAGAGCAATATTTTGTTTTAATTTCAGGGTGCAGAAAATGTGACGGCCTATATGCCTGATGCCATCTGGTACGATTATGAGACTGTAAGTAGCACTGACTTTTCTTAAACTCTTCAGGGCCATAGCTGCTGCTGTGTAGACAAGAAAAACCGAGTGTTTCTGTTGTGTGTTCTGTAAGTTCAGCCAGGTTGATGGCATGTGCCCAAGTCACTTAACATCAGTAAGGGTGAAATCCAGAAAACATACTTTCATATACTTTATTCATCAGTAAGATACAGACTCAAGCAGAATGTCTCATGGGCAAGTACTGGAAGGGCCAATGGGCAATGTGAGCTTGGTCATGACTTAGAACTGTCAGTTCATAGAATATATATCAAAGAGCCTCGGCGTGGCATGCACGTGCTCCCAACCCCAACTGGTGACAAAACCTGTTATTCTTGATATCTTTCCCATCTCTTGTTTGATTGCCCGACTAGGCAGTGGTTCAGCTAGGTGGTAAAAGAGAGTCACAGATGACTCAGCGCGGGCATGAGAGCTGGAGGTGAATGTCCTGCCAGGCCAATGCGATCCATTTGTCTTCATGCTTCAGGGGGGCCGAGTGAGATGGAGGAAGCAGAAAGTGGAAATGCAACTTCCTGGGGACAAAATTGGACTTCACCTGCGAGGAGGCTACATCTTCCCCACCCAACAGCCAGCCACAACCACTGTGGCCAGGTACAGTATGGCTGGAGAGTTCCTTTAAGGGGCAGGCTGACAGAGCTGGTCATTTCTGTTCCCATCTGTTCCCCTTGCAGAAGATGCTGATGCATCACGTGGAGAGTAGAGACCGGGGAGGAAGACGCTCTGGGGTGTGTGTGTGTGTATTTGTTGGTGTATGTATGTGTGATAGGGCATTAAACTCTGCCTTTTCTGAGGAAGCTTTGATTGAGAGCTGCATTCATATAGACTTTGAAAGACTTTAAGACCTGTTCTTCTTAACCCCCCCTGAATTTCTCCTCAAAACACACTAATTCCAGGGTGGTCAACATCCTCGATTTTACTGGAACCAATTTCATTTTAGCACCGAAAAGTCTCATGACTTGGAAAACCTCTCAATTCAGGCAAAATGGGGTCTGTTGATGACCTTCCTTGCCCTAGCCCGGCCATCCATCCGTCATGCTGTGCTTTTGACTCACTCACTCTCATTTCTAGGGGGTGGTGAAGGGTACACTTTCTATTCCCTTATGATCTCAATTTCCCTCTTCTTTCTTCCCACTGAGGCATTTCTTTCTCGTGATGCAAAACGGGGCTCAAATATTACTCCTTGTGCACTTTAGATCACCTTCATCTCACTGATTTCTCTTTTATGATTCTTTGATTCTAAAGTTAGGGACTCCATCTGTACTAAGTAGGCTCACATTTACAGTTGTGTCTCTACAAATATTAGCTTATTTGTTTTTAACACACTGGAAGTTCTTTGGAGGTTAGAATCCTGTCTTTTCTTTGGCACCTCCCTTATTTGTCTTAAGTTTTTGAATTTAGACTTTTTATGATAGTGATGGAAAATACTTCTAGATCCAAAACCAGCTGTTTTCTTTTTCTCTAACTGACCAGCTTCATGCTGTTTTGCATACTGATACCAAAATTATTTTTCCAAAATGAAGATGTCAACCTGTTGCTCCCCTGCTTAGAGCAAACACTTTCATTAGTAGGTCATTCAAGGCCAGTGACAATCTGGTTCCAAGTTACTTAATAATTATATCTCTGGACACACATTAACACATACCTGTAGACCACCATACCCAAAATCTTGCTATTGCCCAAACATCTCCTTCTGTTTTCCTGCTTTTGGGCTTCAGCACTTATCTCCCTTCCCAACATTCTCTGCCTGGTATGTTCTTTTTAAAAAAATTAAATTTAGTGAGGTGACATTGGTTAATAAAATTATATAGGTTTCAAGCGTACATTTCTATGATACATCATATGTATATTGCATTGTGTGCCCACCACCCAGTCAAATCTCCTTCCGTCACCATATATTTGGCTGACTTTACCCTTCACTACCCCGCCCCCTTCCCTCTGGTAACCACCATACTGTTGCGTGTGTCTATGAGTTTTTGTTTGTTTGTCTTGTGTGTTCATTTGTTGCTTTCAGTTTTATATCCCACATATGAGTTCTTGACTTTTTCTGTCTTTTTCTGTCTTCTGATTTTTTCTTTCGCTTAGCATGATATTCTCAAGATCCCAACATTCTTTGCTTCGTGTTGTTTTTAATAATCCTTCAAATTAACTTCAGATTTCATCTGCAGGAAATGTATCCCAACTCTTCTAGCAGAGGGAGTGCTGCCACTTCCAACTTCCTGGTCATATTTTATACTCTTTTGCTGTTTAGCTGATTTTTTTTTTCTTTCCTCCTTAATATTATTAAGTATGTCAATCATAGTCATTTTATTCTTTGTACCTGAAAATTCTATTATTTAAAGTCCTTAGTGGACTCTAAATCAATAGTTGTTTTTGCTAACTTTCTTTCATACTGGCTTATCATTTTGTGTGTTCAGTAGTTTCTGTTTTTCAAATGTGTGATCTTAAAGATCCAAATGTGGGTCTCACTCCTACAGAGATCATTTGCCTTCTCTTTGATGGCAAACCAGGACTGCTGTCAACTAGGGAACACATTAGCTCCCTGCAGGGACCATGTATTATATTTTATCTAGGACCAAGTAGCATTTTAGTGGGTGGGTCCTTCAGAATGTGTGATGTTTTCCAGAATATCTAGTCCACCATACTCCTAGAAGTGTCATTCTGGACTCCTATAAATATTTTAACTTTTGTGTCACTCTTTACTTTCCCCTTTCTGATTATTTGGTGAGTATATTTAATCTTACAACATTTAAGGTCATCAGTGGAGTGTGATCCATTCATCTTTGTATCTCTTAGACTTTCTAGCAAATGGAAACTACTCAATGCATGTGTTAGATGAAAGCAGGTGATTTTTTGGATGATGGAACCTGACTTGCATAGGGTGGAATAGAAGGCTCTACTGGGACAGAATAGAATAGAGACTGTGAGGTCAGTGAGGGTTGTAGCATGAGCAGAAAATTGGGAGGTAGACTAAAGGCATGTTGACGCTAGCAAAGATCCCAATGGAAATTGCTTCTTCTTTCCTCCTCTTTCTCTATGCCCATCTATTGCACCAACTTTTTGAGTAGTGTTTTGTGTTTCTTATTTGTAACTATAAAGCAGATGATTAGAACATTTGACTTTTCTCTCAAAACAAACTAATAATAAAAAATAAAATTTGGAGCCAGGCAGATGTGGCTCAACAGGTGAGCTACGACCTAGGATCCAGGCAATTGGGGTTTGATTCCCAGTCAGGGCACATGCCCGGGTTGCGGGCTTGATCCCCAGTTGGGGGTGTACAGGAGGCAGCCGATCAATGACTCTCTCTTCATTGATGTTTCTATCTCTCTCTCTCCCTCTCCTTTCCTCTCTCTGAAATCAATAAAGATATATTTTTAAAAAATAATAAAATTTGGAAAAGTGCCATTGTATTTTATTGCTTTCTGAGTCAAAATGGTTTTCTGGAAGGGAAAAAAAATTGTCCCCTAGCCACAGTTAATACATCTTCTGCATGTATCATATCTAAAATGACTAGGCTGAACCAATTATTGTCTAGGGTTTCTCTGTCTTCTAATAGTCTATATTCTAAATAATAGTTGCATCAACGGCTTTTATTGTAGCTACTGTGTGATTCGGGTACTACAGTTCTTGCCTCCTACATAGATGTCTATTGTTAATGTTTGGGGTATTTCTATTACTGATTCTAGAGGGAGATGCACCTGTTGATTTTGCCTTTGTGCCCAAAGAAAAGCAGAGCCGCCTGCTGCTAGGATCCCTTTTCATCTGAAATCTGATAGAATCAACCCCAGCTCATTTGACAAAATTCTTTGACTTTTAAGTCTGTCACTTACATAAATCTCTTCTTCTACAGTCGAAAGAATCCTCTTGGTCTTATCATTGCACTAGATGACAACAAAGAAGCAAAAGGGGAACTTTTCTGGGATGATGGGGAAACGAAAGGTGAGCACTGTTGTGACAATGTTGCCTTTTCTGAAACTACATCTTTGAGTTACTCCTGCTGCTCATTTAGCTGGGGGAGAAATCTCACCAGGCCCAGGAGCGTTCATCACTCCAGAGAAGAGTTTTGTTTTTTAGTAGCACTGTTCATGGGCAGTGGAGATGGACTGCTGATGGAAGAAAAACATATTTCTACTTCTTAGAATTCTCCCATCGGCCAGCAATATTCATAGGCTCTCATTTTATTGTCAATGAGTATCTGAAAGAGAGATTTTCAAGACCATCCCTGCCATTCAATATAGACATCTTCCCCCAAAATACTAATGAACAGATGTCGATGCTATGAAATACATATCCAGTGAGGCAGTGAGAATCTAGCTATGTGTCTATATTTAGCTTCTTAGCGCATTTTTCTGTCTCCAGTATACTAACAACTCTTGTGGCTCAAGTTTAGGAAGTAGATTCACTTGAGGCGTATGCCTTGGAAGCACATGGAAGGAAACATTTTCAAGATTAAAGAAGAAAGAAAGAGGGAAAACAGTGGCCTGACCTGGAAGACTCTGTCTATAATCTTGTCATTCTCATGTTGTAGCTTCAAAGGCAGCCAGGGTAAAATCTGTTCTTCTGTGGTGAGTCTGATATATCTTTCTCTCACTTTCAGATACTGTGGCCAATAACACTTATATCTTATGTGAGTTTTCCATCACCCAAGTGAGTAGTACATTTTTGTGAATCTTAGGTGTGGGCTTTTGTCTGACCATGAGGCTCATGTGTGTTTGTGTATGTGTGTAATTATATTTGTAGCTTCATATGCATGTGTGGGTATAGGTGAGCACATTCTCCCAATAATTGAATCAACCATGTTAGTAAAAAGGTGGCAATTAAATGGATAAATCAAAACAGTCAGTTCTTTAAATACAGTTTTTAAAAAATCTCTTCTCTCTCTCTCTTTCTCTCTTTCTGCTTGGTGGTTGGGGGGGGGGCAGTTATCAAAATAAGTTTGTACTAGTTAAGCACACAGTAGTAGAGAGAGCTAAGAGGCATTCAGACCAATTTGGGGTATCTGGTCTAGGATGGAATATTTGAGCGACTTGAGAATCTGTGTTTTATAGTTATTTGTGCTTAATTGTTTTGCAGAACCGCTTGGATGTGAAGATTTTACAGTCAACCTACAAAGACCCCAATAATTTAGTTTTTAAAGAGATTAAAATCCTTGGGACCCAGGAACCTAGCAACGTTATAGTGAAACAGAATGGTGTCCAAAGTCAAGTTTCTCCTAATGTCATTTATGATTCTAACCTACAGGTAAAAATCCATTTGGTCGAGAGGGTTTAATCAAGAATTCTTCACAGCTCATGGCGTCCCTTTTTACCAAGGTTGCATGGGTCCCAGACGACTGATCTACACTTTGAAGCCTGGGGTGGGAAGCCAGAGGGTTTGGAGAGGAAAAGAAATGAGCAGTGGGCCAGAACTAGAATGAATGGGGAGCTGCTGAGAAGCTGGGATGAGGCCAAGGAGTCTTTTCATCCTAATTCCCCTGTTGGCCCCTCAGTCTTCTGTTCCCTTTGACTGGGAAGGAAGAAGAGCAAAGCTAGGAGTGCAGGGAGCAGGGTTAGAGGAAAAGTAGATCTGAAAGCTGCTGGTTGATGCTAGAAAGGTAAAGATGGGAGGGCGAGTCCCGCTAATGAAAATTCTGCGGTGAGGTTTTTTGTTTGTTTTTTTACTATACTGAGATATATAGGTTCCCACTCCGACGCATACACTTTGAGGAAATATATTAAGTCAAAGAATTTGACAAGCCTAGCTAATTAATGACTACTTATCTGGTTAGATGATAACAATAAAATGATTTTTCATCAGTTGCGATAAGACCTAATGCTCCTGAACAGGTTTGTAGTCAGCTCTTCTGGTATTTTAGCACTGAGGGACCCTTTCCTCAAATACTATGAGGGACTCTTTCCTCCAATACTCCTTCCTACAGGTATGATTGGGGATTGGGAGCTGTGGGTCAGCATGGTTTCTGAGGGACCTTCCAAATTTGGAGGAAATAAGTAAATTTAGTCTTCTACTATAATGATCTACCAATGATGTTTGACGTTTTGTCTTGACAGCATCCATTGAGGATGCATACATCATCATGTTAGAAGTAAAATATTATATTTTTGTTTGTGAGTACAGCAAAGTGCAAGAGATGCACAGATGAAAACAAACTCAATGTGGATGGTGGGGAGACATAATTTATACACGTGAAATTACTGGGAAGGGAACAGGCAACCCAACCATCATATAGGAAGTGTTAACTTATATTATGCTAATTTCGTGTTCAAAGCTTAATGGAGTAGTTGAGCAAAGCCCTCGCAGAGAGCAGGGCTGGAGCTGAACTTTGAAAGATGATGCATCAGCTAGAGATTCGTTTGGCTGCAAGCGGCAGGAGACTCAGCCGAATGGTGGTTTAAACAAGTTGAGATTTTTTTCCCTTGTGCAATAAGAAGTTTAGAAAGAGGTCAGTTATTGGCATTGGTTCAGTGGTTCGAGGTTGTCAGGGTTGAGGGTTTTTTCTCCTCTGGTGATTGGAAGTGCCTCCTGCTTCATCCCAGTCACTGTGGCCTTGTTTTAGTACACCCCCCCAAAGAAGAGGAAGCAAGCAGGCCCCTAAATCAAGAAAGAAACAGTTGGCTTGAAATGTACCTATTTATAACCACAGCTGTGTTATGTGGATTAAAAATTTAATTCTTAAGTGGGAACTTTAGTATTCTAAACTGAAATAGTGAGTAAGAAGATAACTTTTATGCAGGGCAGGCAGCTGGCAGTGTATTCCACAGATGGGCACCATTTCCCTAGAAAGGGCATTTGCCTGGATAAAGCATTCAAGGTTGAGATATCAGAATAAGCCAATCTAAGGACAGCCTTATATTAGTAACAGATGAGCCTTTCATTAGTCTGTGAATATTGTATAACTAGAGTAGGTAGGATTCACTTTTAGAAGGGGATCAGTTTGGACAGGTAACTTATGGTCAGATTTTGGAAGGTCTTAGTGCCAAAATGAGAGGGATCTGACCTAATTTCAAAGGGTCTCCTGTTGATCCTCAAATCAAGGCTGTGCTGTTGTAAGAACGTGGTTGTGGAGAGGGGTAGGATTCGTAGCACAGAGGAGCACGATGAATTTAGACTGGGAAGAGATTGGAAGAAGGATGATAATGGTTGGAATGTAATTTTATAACTCTAGATACATGTAAACTTTCTCTAAGGAAATTGCTAATTAAAGACGAGACAAACATAAAAAATACATAGAAAAATATTAAATACTTGAGTTAGTGACTGGGATTTAAAGAGGTTTTCAAATTTTGAGGCTTTGGGTTTGGAGAAATGAAGAGGCTGGGATGTTAGAAACAGAAGGAAATGGTGTGATTTTGCTAACTCACCAGTTTTACAATTGGTGAAATTGGGACCCAGTGAACTGAAATAATTTGTCTAAGTTTCCACAGCAGAATGGAGATGAGATGCCAGGCCATACTGACCTTATCCCTTTGTTCGTGCCATCAGTCCAGACCAATGGGCGACGCTGGTCTGGGGAATGGAGGGCAAGAAGTCAAACTCAGTCTGGGATGACACGTGTGCTTGTGTGTGTTACGGAACAAGGGGGAGTGTAAAGAGAGCCTTCCTGACAAAATAGAGGAAGCCGAGTCAGGGAAGGAAAGAAAGGGGTGATTACAGAAGATTTTATTTGACCAAATTCTTTTCAAAATGTTATATACAAGATTCTCGTAGAGTTGTGACATCTGCCCTGTTGCCATTGGATAACTCCCTCCCTCACCCCCCAAATATAGTTCTCTTCGTAGAGGCTCTAGTGGTACATTACTTGGATTGTTGAGTCTGGTTGGATTTCTATTCCTTTCCTAAAAGAAGTTTCAGATCTTGCAGGGCCTGTGTCCTGAGGGTAAACTTCCTTGTCACCTTCCCATCCCTATAGGTCGCCCTTATCACAGGACTTGATCTTGTCCTGGGAGAAGCATATACTGTGGAATGGGAGCTGAAGATGAAGGACACAGAAAAAATAGACTGTTATCCTGATCAGGGTCCTGCTTCCAAAGACAACTGTTCTGTTCGCGGCTGTGCCTGGGAGGTAACCATGCTGATGGTGTTATCATATGTTAAACCTCTCTGCCTGTACCCTACAATTTCATGAGCATAGCACCAGTACCTATGTTATTACTTAAAATCCACAGAAAGAAAGGGCTTCTAACTGAACCTGAGTTTTTACCTGGATATGAAGGGCAGGTAGGGACAGGAGTGAGATGGGGTTTTTTTTAAACAAATATTTTGCATGGAGATCAGGAGTTTAAACTTGTATCATAACCAGAGTGTATAGGGAAATGGGTGGTGGTTGGCTTTATCTTCCTATAAATTGCCTTTTCCCACCCCTTTGCATTTGATAATCCCAGGACCCCATGCTGAGCTGACTTTGGCTTTACTTCTCAGGAATCCACTTCCCCAGGAGTCCCTTTTTGCTATGTCACCAAAGATCTATACTCTGTCAGTGATATTCAATATGACTCACACGGGGCCACAGCTGTCATCTCCTTAAAGTCTTCTCTTTATGCCAATGCTTTGCCCTCAACACCTGTGAACTCCCTCCGTCTGAAAGTGACCTACCACAAGAATGACATGCTGCAGTTTAAGGTACGTGTTTACAGCCTGTGTGCCTAGTACCGACTAGCACTTTTCAGGTCCATTACATTTCGCTAGTCAAGGTTACAGAACCCTCAAACAAGGTCGCTCTTCTAAATTAACCATGCTGCATTATCCTGGGTCGTTACCCTAAGAGCAATGAGAAACCTGGAACGGGGAGACTGTTCTAATTTGCATTTTGAAAAGATTGCTGTGTCTACTGTAAGGGAAATGGTTGGGAGGGCAAGAACAAAAAAGAGAGACATGTTAGGAAGTTACGAGTTAGGTAATCCAGACGAGGGCTGGAGTTTAGACATGGTACAGGCAGGAACGGGGAACTGTGGCAGCTTCGAGAGCTGAGAAGGCCGCGTTGCAGGCTCTGGTGATGGCTGCAAGCAGGTGAGGATGAGAGGGAAGCACCAAGAACGAGGACCATGCTCTAGCCTGCTTGCCTGTACGGACCATGGTGCTGTTAGCTGGAGCGGGAACACTGAGAAGGTCTGAGCGTGGGCAAGGTCGGAGGAGCTCAGCTCTGGGCGTTGAATTAGGGATACCTGTGAAATAGCCATGAAGACGTAGTGACCTCTCTTTCCTATGATTAATTGCATCTAAGGACTAGTGATGGACTGTTTTGAATCTATTTCTTTATGAAATTGTGAGTTTCTGAAAGATGAGAATTTGTCCTTTCATCTTCATATTTTTGAAATCTAACACAGAGCTGGGTAGGCAGTTAGCACTCAGATGTTCATTGAGAGAATAAATGAAAGACATCAGGCATTGCCTGAAAGGTTCTTCATAATCTACTATCAACCTGGACTATGAGTTCTTGTACATCTTCTAATGTAAGGATGAAGCTTTTTTATTTTTAATTTTTAAAAAATATATCTTTATTGATTTCAGAGAGAGGGAGGGAGAGGGAGAGAGATAGAAGCATCAATGATGAGAGAGTCATCATTGGCCGGCTGCCTCCTGCACGCCCCTGACAGGGAATTGAGCCCGCAACCCGGGCATGTGCCCTGACTGGGAATGGAACCACAATCTCCTGGATTATAGGTAGATGCTCAACCGCTGAGCCACGGCCGGCCGGGCAGGAATGAGGCTCTTTTATATTTCTGTCCTCACTATAGCACTGGTGGTATGCGATAGACACCTGATGGGTTTGAAATAAATGAACCTCCTTAGGTTTCCAGCTTTAACCCTTTACCACTCTACCTCTGTCACACAGTAACTCTCTCCAAATATTTGCCTTTTCTGACTCTGCTTCCATACTCAGTGCCTTTGCATTTATTTCTCTACGAGGAATGACTTGATCTCCTTTATGTGCTTGGTTAATGGCTACAACGCTTTTAAGACTCAGCCTGTATTTTGCCCATGAAACTGTCTCAGTCTCCTTGAAACAGTGTTAGGTATTTCCTTCCCTACAATATCACAGCACTGCTACATAGCTCTGCATGGCAATATACCTCTCAAGTGTGTGGGTGAACCTCTCTTTCATCAGCCATTAGCATGTGAATTTCTTACAAACAATAATGTCAACTGAGACACATACCCAGTTGCTGAGTATAAGCAGGAATATAGTAGGTAGGTACTCAGTGACTCAACTTAGATCCCATTTTTAGCAAGGACATCTGATGTTTTTTTAAAATCAAGTAGAGTTTATGTTTGGGGGAGATTTTTTTTCAATTCAGAAGTTTTTCAGGTATTCACATAGACTCATACAACTACACATCAAATAATAAACAATATGTTCACAAATACCACGCTGATTCTAGACTGAATTTCCAGGGTAGCACCAATGTCAGAGTGAATGTGTTACTGTAATAGAGGCCTTAAAAATGAGATACGACAGATTCAAATCAAACGTTAAATCTGACATTGTTCTTTGATATGTTAATTAAACCCAGAGTATCATGAGTTTAAAGAAGACAAGGAAATAGAGCATTCAGACTCTTTGTCAAGGCCGGCAAGGTTCTGCTAAGGGTAAGAGTGCTACACTTACCTGAAATCAATTTCTTCTGTCCCTAGATTTACGATCCTAACAACAATCGGTATGAAGTCCCAGTCCCTCTCAACATACCCACAGTTCCATCCAGCACCCCTGAGAGTCAACTCTATGATGTCCTCATTAAGAAGAATCCATTTGGGATTGAAATTCGCCGGAAGAGCACAGGCACTGTGATGTAAATGGCTCCTAGTCTGATTTGGAATTGATGGTTACCTGCACATTCATTACTCGGTCCATCATCTTTGGAGATATCCTGGCTCAAAGCACCACACTATCCACTCCCAGATTCATGAATACATTATTTCCTTTGGGTCTGTTCTTATGAGAAAGTTTTAGGCCCCTGGGAATAATTACAGAGGCATTGCACCTACTTAGGCATTCATTCAGCAGATGTTTATGGAGTGCCTTCCCTATATTATGCGGTTATGTAAGATGTGGTTTCTCTTTTCATGACAAAAGTAATAAGTAAATAACAAAATAATTCAAGTTGAAACACCAACAAGGAGGCTTGGATAGTGACAAATGCTATGTAGGAGACCAGGATGATTGAGAGTTGTGGGAAGTTACTGCTTTGGATACTGTGGTCAGAGTGGATCTCTCTGAGGAGGAGGCACCCATGTGGAAATCTGAGGGGTGGGGAAGAACATTTTAGACAGATGGACTGGCAAGTGCACAGGCCACAAAACGGGACCAAACTTGGCCTGTTAAGGGTGGAAATGTCCAATATGGTCAGAACAGTGTAGTAAGTAGGGAGGTAAGTGATGGGACATGAAGCTGGGGTTTAGGTGGGTTTCAGATCAGGTATGGCCTTGAAGACTTTATAAGATGTTGTAATGGAAATCACTGAAGAATTGTAAACATGGAAGTGATATGATGTGAAATACTTTGGGAAAATTCACTCTGGATGCTTCGTAGCAAATGGACTGTAGGGGGAGCAAGAGTGGAAGCAGGGGTTGGTGTGGAGCTGTGGCAGCTGAGAGGAAAAATGTGATGAGATTGGGCGTTCTGGAGGGAGAACTGGAAAAAGGGAGGGATGGAGGAAAATAAAGAATGAAGTTGGCTCCTGGGCTTTTAGCAAAGGCATCCATGATTATTTTAATCAAGCAGACTTTACGTCTGGTTTGGGAGGTTAGTAGGGTTCTGGGGGGAGGGAGGGATCAAAAGTTCAGTTGTCCTTGAAAACTCAGCTGCTTGAAGCCCATATAACAGCCCATTTCTTTCCCAAATATACCCTTTTTGTGTTGCAGTTGGGACTCGCAGCTCCTTGGCTTCACCTTCAACGACATGTTCATCCGCATCTCCACTCGCCTTCCCTCCCAGTATATCTATGGCTTTGGAGAAAATGAACACACAGCCTATCGGAGAGACTTGAACTGGCACACGTGGGGGATGTTCTCCCGAGACCAGCCCCCGGGGGTAAGGGCAGAGTGTTGGGACCTTTCTGTGCCCCTCTTTACCCACATCGTGGCCACTTGCTGCTTCATCTTCCGGGACTCAACTTGGGGGGTCACGTTCTGCTTTTAGACAAATGGGCCAACTCTCTGGCTCCTTTGTTTCTTATGCATTTTACCTGTCTCAGAGAGAAGACTAGACACACCTTACCAATCCATTTTCATTGAGTTTCTTTCTCAGCTGCACTGTCTCTTAACCTCTTACCACTTCTTTGCATGACTCTCCCAGTACAAGATGAATTCCTACGGTGTCCACCCCTACTACCTGGGCCTGGAGGAAGACGGCAGCGCCCACGGGGTGCTTCTGCTAAACAGCAACGCCATGGGTAAGGGGATGCCAGTATCTCCCCCTTTTTTGGGAACCCCTCGTTCTTGAGGATCTTTAGAATGTGTTTGACCTAGCTGCCTCCAGAAGTCAAAGGCATTATCGTGTGACCAGTTTCTTTCTTCTTAGCCTTTCTGTTGATTTCAGTTCAGTAATATGCGTTAACAAGAATTAACTAAACTCTTACTTGGCAAAAATCGTGTAAGAAGGGAGAGTAAACCCAAGCAAGTCCCAAATATCCTGGAGTTTGGCCAGTGGGGGCCATCTGTGTAATCTGAATTAGTGATGAAGCTGTGGGTCGGAGCACTCTCTCTGGGGGTATGAGGATGTGAAGAATATTTGTATGGTGTATTGGAACGGGGTTGGAAAGGCAGGAGGTAGAGGGGAAAGCATGCATGTAAAAAGGGGTAAAATCCGAATAAAGCCTATACCTGAGTTAGGAGTATTATACCTTTGTATCAAAGAACACCAAAGGGAAAAAAACCCAGAGATAGGACCCTGTAGGGTTTCACTTAACTTCAATTCTGTGTAGCTACAGTACAAAATACTTTCTTGAAACACAGAGGTGTAGAAAGAGGGAGAAGTTATGCATTTCTGGGGTAGTTCCTCACATTGAGGGTTTGCAAATTGATTGGTATTTTCCTACATTTTCAGATGTGACATTCCAACCCCTGCCTGCCCTGACATACCGCACCACGGGAGGGATTCTGGACTTTTACGTGGTCTTGGGGCCAACCCCAGAGCTTGTCACTCAGCAGTACACTGAGGTAGGAGGGACTTCAATTGGTTACCAAGTATTTAAACAGTATATTTTGTGTTCCAAAACCCACATTCATTAGTATAGTTCTCAGATAATAACTGGAATTACTGGTCTTATTGGGAGACAGGTAGATTACAAAATAAAGAATATATACATCCCCCAAAACATTAATTTCATAGCCTCTCAAAGCATTGCAGAGCAGCAGAATTAATAGTGCCAGTGGTGGTTGTGGAGGTGGCAATGGTAGCAATAGTGATGGTGATGATGATGATAATATGATGGTGGTAGTAGTGATTATGGTGGTAATGTGACGATGGTGGTAATGTGACGATGGTGGTGATATGGTGGTGGTGGTAATGTGATGGTGATGGTAGTGTACTGGTGTTGGTGATGGTGGTGGTGGTGGTTGTGATGTGGTGATGGTAGTGGTGATGGTGGTGATGGTGGTTGTGGGTGATGGTGGTGGTGATGGTGGTAGTGATGTGATGGTCATGGTGTGATGTGATGGTCATGGTAGTCATAGTGATCATGACAGTTGTTTTGACAGCAGCAACAAACACATATATAAGACTTACTGGCATACAGTAAGTGATATATGTCAGAACACTTTACATATACATATTAACTCATTCAGTCCACTCAAAAACACACCATGAAGCAAATACTATTGTTATCCCCAATTTACAAGTGAGGAAACTGATGCACAAGAGGCATTTAATGTTAGCCCAAGGTTGCATAGTCAGCAGAGATTGGAGCCCATATGGTAACCCAGACACTTTACTTCTAGGTTCTGTGTTCCTAACCAATAAGCTAGACTGCCTCTAGGAATCAGAGTAAAACCAGATTTTCCCAAATTCCTGGGGAGTGGGTCTAGTCTAGCAGGAAGCTTTCTCCAAGTTATCCCATTGACTGTGCATCTTCTCAGTTTCTCTCTGGATTTGAATTTGTTGATTGTCTAATGTGGGGCACTAGAAAAATATTCTTAAAGCACTTTGTGTACAACCTCGATTTGGAGTCTTCTTTTTAAGAACTAATATTTTCTGCCTGTTTTCTAGTTGATCGGTCGGCCAGTGATGGTTCCTTACTGGTCCTTGGGATTTCAGCTATGTCGCTATGGATACCAGAACGACTCTGAGATTGCCAGCTTGTATGATGAGATGGTGGCTGCCAAGATCCCCTATGTATGTTCTCAACTTGTGGTGTACCAGCTTTGAGACACGGCCAACCCCAGTTGTCTCTATCTGGATTCATTTGTCTGATTTTTGTGGGGTTCTGTAAAGTTACAAAGTTCTTTCTCATACAATATCACACTGAGCCTCACCCCAATGCAGTAATACAGGTGGGGGTCATGGTCTGCATCTCAGAGTCACAATGATTTGCCAAGGAGGATACAGGACCAGCTCCAGGGTTCTTCCTGCTAGATCATGCTCCCATTTCTGTTACATGAATTAAATTTAGTCAAAAACATCCTTGGTTCCATAAGAATAAAAGAACCTCCCAAACAGTAGTATTGTTTAATTTTAAAAGCTCAACCCAAATTCAGTCAGACCGTTGTGTGTGTAGATAGAATCTCAGTTCCAACACTTTGCCGGGGCTGGAGCACAGTCTTCTCTCAGCTTTGAGCTAATCCAGGGCTGAATGTAGGGATCTTGGAATTGGCTTGCAGAGGAAATATATGTGGGAGAAACTCAATCGAGGACAAGAGGGGTCCAATGATCAGAGAATTGATCCCACAAACCAATTACATACAGTGGTGGGCAAAAGCAGGTTTACAGTTGTGCGTATGTGAAACTCAGAGTTTATTCTTGTATTACTATTTATTAATTATTATATTATTTTTCATACAAGCAACTGTAAACCCACTTTTTCCAACCCCTGTATTTAATTTTATTCTATTTTATTGTTGTTGTTTATAGTTGTTTCTATTAATGGAAAGTGTAGCATGCACTCATAATAAGAAAGCTGTGTTTAACAACCCCTAAGCCTGGCTATTCCAGAGCAATAACAGGTTCTGTTTTGTTTTGGGTAGATTTACCACCCATGTTGTATTCGTACTAGGTAATTGACATTATGTTGTTTTCTCTGAACTTGAACTGCTGATGCCAGGGCAGCCTCTTGGGGGAGGCGGCCACCATCACTCCTGATACTGGTCATTGACAAGGCACTTCCTCATCCATTGTTTTCATTTATCCTCAAAACAGCCCTGCTGGATAGGCATTATCATTTATATTTTGCTAATTTTGTTGTGTGTTTTTTCCATGTTGCAAAGGAAAATTAGAAAGTTAGGTAGATTTCCCAGAACCTAGCACCTGACAAATACCAGAACCAGGATTTGAAAGAATCCCAAAGAAGCTGTGTGAAATTTGCTACCGGTTGGGTTAGTGGCGGCTTGTTCCCGTCCGGAGCCTGCAGCCACTCAGCTCCCTTGTGTGTCCCCCAGGATGTGCAGTACTCGGACATCGACTACATGGAGCGGCAGCTGGACTTCACCCTCAACCCCAAGTTTGCTGGGTTTCCAGCTCTGATTAACCGCATGAAGGCCGACGGGATGCGGGTCATCCTTATTCTGGTTCGTTCCTGCGTGAACGGGAGGAGTCTTTTGGGAGTGCAGAGGAGCTTTGCATGTGCCAGGTTCCCTCCCGCGTTACAAGTAGAGAAGTTGAGGGTCAAAGAGTAAGATATGCCCCAGGATTCACAGCCGCTGTGTGGTTCAGGTGGAAGGTGGTGCCTTCCCTTTGGGGGAGTTTCTCTCTCCTGTCCCGTCATTCTCTGGCTTCGGTTTCCTCACCTGGCCTATGTGTCGATTGTAGGACCCAGCCATCTCTGGAAACGAGACGAAGCCCTATCCTGCATTCAGCCGGGGTGTAACAGATGATGTCTTCATCAAATATCCAAACAGTGACGACATTGTCTGGGGAAAGGTATGATCTTCGTGGTGACCCAGCCTGGGGATGCATCACTGTTAGTGCGTTTGGGGCTGTTGTTTGGTCTTTTTCGTTTGAGGTCGGAAGTTCTCATTTTCTCAATCAATATCTGTCAACACAGTTAAGGAATTTTGAAGGAATGTATATGCACTTCCCTCTAGATCAATCCTATGTGAAAAATCAAAGTGCCATCACCCTTAGGACCATGGTTTATAGTTTCTTAGGAAATGCTACATAAGAGAAATTATCGACTGCACTGCCTTTGGACATTTTTCTTTCCACAGGTCTGGCCTGATTTCCCCAATGTTGTTATAAACGGGTCTCTAGACTGGGAGAGCCAAGTGGAGGTAAAGGGCCCTTTGTGGATGTTGGGTGGAGTGAGGGTTGCAAGGGAGGTCTGTCTTTTAATCAGTTTATTTTTTTAAAAAATGACTCAGATGTGGCAGGTATTAATCTTTATTCTAATCCTCCATCGCCCTGCCCTACCCCATGTTTTCCAACCTGCCTGAGCTGGAGCTCTCTGTTTTTGGTGAAAGAGTCTCTTCTTCTGGTTCCATGTTTCTACCTCTCTCTCTCTCTCTCTCTCTCTCTTTTTTTTTTAATATGATTTTTTATTGATTTTAGAGAGAGAGAGAGGAAGGGAGAGGAAGAGAGAGAAAGAGAAACATCAGTGTGAAAACAGAACATTGAATGGCTGCCTCCTGCATGCCCCTACTGGGGATCAAACCTGCAACCCAGGCTGCAACCCAGGCATGTGCCCTGATCCAGAATCAAACTGGTGATCTCTCAGTGCATGGGACTACACTCAATCAACTGAGCTACGCCAGCCAGGGCCTACTTGTCTTTTGTCTATTGTGTATAAGAGCTAGAAGTTCCCTCAATCAAGTCTTCTTTCCATTGCTCCCCCTAACCCTTACCAACAGCATTATTGAGCTTTTAAACTCTTAAAATGCACTGATGAACAGAGAGGAACCTATCTACTGAGACATACAATGGACCATAATGTTCCTTAACAAGCAATATGACCTACATAGAAATTTATGAATATTTGCTGCCACTAAGTGGTGTGAATTCACAGTTAGGCACTGAGCATTTATTTTATGTCGGGTTCTAAGCTAAGCACTGTAGGGGATACAAAGATTAATCAGAAGAAAATAAAATAAAGCCTTTGCTCTCAAAAATCTTATGCTCTAGTTGAGGAGCTATACCTTGGGTCTACTTTTCAGGTTACAGCGAAGACATGACCTTTATTATTTGAGCAAATGAAAGAGGAGGGGGAGCTACATCTTCCTCCTAAGTCCTTTCAACTTACTTGACACACAAGTGCTGTTTTCAGGTGATGCTGAAACTAGAGAAAACACAGATGCAAACTAGTCAGATGGTCTCATGGACTAAAATGCAAACTTGCCTCTCACCCCCTTCCCCGAGCAGGAATGAGACAAGAGAGGGTCAACTGGCTGCTTCTTTCCAGCCTGCTGACAAGGCATCTGATGTCTCTCCCTTTCAGGCTGCAGGCTCTCCCCGGCTTACGCTTTGTCTTTGAGGGTGCTTAGGAAATTACAAGATGGAAGTTGAGGGTTGGGCATCTAATACACGAGATAGTGAGTTCAGGGGTTGATCACTACTGTTCGTGTTGATAGGGAGAGGAAATCAGTCTATGGATGCTTTCCAAATGCTAAGGAGGGGCCTAATTTGTGCTAATTTCCCCCTGCACTATTGTAGTTAAAACAAGAAAAGAACATTACTTAAGCTCTGTTCAGATTACCTGTCACCATGTAGTACAAGGCTGTGCAGGAGTTAAGCTCTTAGTAAATGCCTGTTTGCTGTCTTATATATTTATTTGGGACAAATAAATTATATTTAATTTTTACAGCAATACCGAGCTTTTGTGGCCTTCCCAGACTTTTTCCGTAATTCAACTGCCACCTGGTGGAAGAGGGAGTTGAGAGAACTACACACCAATCCACTGAGCCCGGAGAAGAGTTTGAAGTTCGATGGCATGTGGATTGTGAGTGTTTGTGTCCGTGTACATGTGGGTAAATGTGTGTCTACCTTTGTGTGTCTAAGTGTATGTATCACTGGCCTTTAATAAAGAAGGATAGTGATCACCCCAGAGAGACTTTGGACATAGACTGCAGTTCCTCCAGTTGGGAGTAGACGCCCCAATAGTCCTCAGACCTTGTACCCGGCCCCAAGTTCCTGCTGTAAAACTCCAAGGTCATTACTAGGAATTTATTGGAACTGCGACTTCCTTCAAACCCTGAGGGAGAATTAAAAAAAAAAAAAATCCTCTAGCCAGTTATACTGTAGGGCTTAATTGATCTTTCTAGTCAGTTCTCAGCTGGATTTGATGATTACTGGATGGTGAATGATTTATTCACTACTTCTCTTTCTCTGAGTTGACAGCATGTAACTATTTTAATTTTTTTAAAATTATTGATTTTATTTTATTTTTTAAAATATATCTTTATTGATTTCAGAGAGAGGAAAGGAGAGGGGGAGAAAGAGACAGAAACATCAATGATGAGAGAGTCATTGATTGAGCCCGCAACCCGGGCATGTGCCCTGATTGGGAATTGAACCCCGATCGCCTGGATCCTAGATTGACGCTCAACCACTGAGCCACGCCTGGCCGGGCTAAATTATTGATTTTAAAGAGAGAGGAAAAGAGAGGGAGAGAGAGAAACATTGATGTGAGAGAAAAACATCAATCAGTTGCCTCTCCTACTCACACCCGCCAGGGATCAAACCCTCAGCCTGGGTGTGTGTCCTGACCAGGAATCGAAACAGCGACCCTTGAGTGCATGGGGCGATGCTCAACTAACTGAGCCATTTAACTATTTTAAAAAGTGAGATACATTTGTGTTTGACATTTCTAGGATATGAATGAACCAGCAAGCTTTGTGAATGGGGCAGTTCCTCCAGGCTGCAAGAATAGTGCTCTGAATCACCCTCCCTATATGCCACGTAAGGACCCTGGGCCTCCTCTACTGGCAGAGCCATGGCCACAAGGAGTGACCCCTGCAAGAGCCCAGCAGGCAGGGGCTTATCAGTGGTGCTTTGGTTTTGGGATGGGCTGTGGGGGGTAATGACAAACAAATTTCAAGGACTTGGATGTATACAAGTTACTGACCCCAAAGACTGAATATTTTGAGTTTGTTCAGAAAACACTTAACAGTGGTTATGTCTCCAAAGGATCCTACATCTGCATTCATTCCTTCTTCAGGCTCGTGTTAATTCCCCTACGAAGATTTGTTGTGCCACCAGTGGGTGGAAAGTAGGGGCTTCCCCTTATGTGGAGTTGATGGACTTTGGCGTTACACTTGTGTTCATATCTTGGCCCCAGAAATTTTTCTCTCTCTATGAGCTACAGTATGACCTTCGACAGATTCCTTGATATTTCCAAACCTGTTTTTAAAACTGTAAAAGGGGGAGAAAGGGATGTCCTTCGTAGAGTTAAGATAAGAATGACATGAAATAATTAGCATGTTGAAAGCCGAGGGTGGAGCCTGCCCCATAGTGTTTGACAACTCTGTGCTCTTCCCCACGCCCTTGGCTTTCCCCTGGAGACCCTCCCGAGGACTTGATGTTGAACCGCCTGTGGCGCCATTGCGGCTCACAGAGCTGAGCGCGTTCCCATGCCTCGGGGAAGGAGAGGGGCCCATGCAGATGTAGAGTTCAATCCCTTGAAGAGAGGTCAGCACTGAACAGGATCAGAGGTGGCTTTCCCATCACTAGTTCTTTCTCCTCAGATCTGGAGTCCAGGGACAGGGGTCTGAGCAGCAAGACCCTGTGCATGGAGAGTGAGCAGATCCTGCCCGACGGCTCCCGGGTGCGCCACTACGACGTGCACAGCCTGTACGGGTGGTCCCAGACCAGACCCACCTACGAGTGAGTCATTATGTCCCTTCTCTAAATGGCACAATCTGCAGGCACAGCCAGTGACTGATGATGCTACCCTGCGTCTCCTCTTACTCCCTCTTCCAAAGGGGCTAAAAAGATTTTAATTACAGCCATGAAGCTATTCTTACCTATTAGACAAATACTCATGAGCATGGAGCCAGGCCCTGTGATCACAGTTAACAGGACAGAGTTACACAAGGGCTGGTCCTGCCAGGGAGAGACCAGTCATCCTAGTGGAGATGCCATGGGCCATTGTCACACAGTGCAGCTGACGCTGTAACAACGTGAGTTACAGGAGGCAAAGAGAGTGAAGAGGACAGGAGAGCTCCTATATTTCAAAAGTCACTTCTCTCTTTTGGGACTTTTTTGGGAGGTCATCCTTGGTTGGGAGAGCCAACGAGGGTTCTGCTGAATTAGCTTTGTCCTACTGTGTGATCTCAGTCAGTGCGAATCATCCTAAGGAAAGCCTTATAAAGGAATTCACCTTCTTCCTCCCCAAATATATACAACTAAGCACTGAGTAAATAAATAGTAAGATTTGGTGATTCCGTATTGTTTTTATGTGACCCAGTGAGTTTATTACGTGGTGAAGTTCTTTGTAAAACCCTTAAACACTCTAAGGAATGTTATTACTCTGTCCATCCGCCGGGGTTGGTCATTGGGAACCTCCCTGTAGCTCAGATTTCCATATTCCCTCCAGTAACACAGGAAACATGTTGGCACCATGCCCTGGGATCAGAGGCTCTGGGAGGAGAAGCTTTGGGGCCTTTCTTCACCTGTTCTGATCTCTGTCACCTCCCTGTTCCCCTCCTACCAGAGCCGTGCAGGAGGTGACAGGAGAGCGAGGGATCGTCATCACCCGCTCCACGTTCCCCTCCTCCGGCCGCTGGGGAGGGCACTGGCTGGGAGACAACACAGCCTCGTGGGACCAGCTGAGGAAGTCGATCATTGGTGCGTGGCTTGTCCCAGGGGCTCCGCTGGTGGGCGCGGGGCAGGATCCCTGCTGACGGGCGCCCCGAGGAGCGGGAGGGAGCGGGTGTGGAGGCCGCATCTGACACAGCCCCGGTTCTCACTGCAGGCATGATGGAGTTCAGCCTCTTCGGCATATCCTACGTAAGTGCCCTTTGGATCGCGGCTAATCCCCGAGCATATGGTGCCATTTTTCAGAATTCATCAACAGGCCTGTTGTATTGCATCTTTTTAGACAGGAGCCGATATCTGTGGATTCTTTCAAGATGCTGAATACGAGATGTGTGCTCGCTGGATGCAGCTGGGGGCCTTTTACCCCTTTTCGAGGAACCACAACACCATTGGGACAAGGGTAGGATGAAGGTGTCACTAGGAACACAGCCTCCAATTCTGAGCTGCTCTAATTCCCCAGGGACGCCCGTAATGCTGTTAAACTCTCATGTTTCTTTTCTTTTTTGACACTCTTATATATTGTGAAATGATGACCACCGTTGGATTAGTTAACACCTTTGTCACCTCAGATACTTACCATTTCTTTTTGGTAACGAGGACATTTAATTGAACATCTGCTCTTTTGTCACCTGTCAAACATACAGGACAGTATTGCTAACTGTATTCATGCTGCACGTTATATCCCAGAACGTACAGGGTGGGGCAAAAGTGAGTCTACAGTTGTGAGTACGCAAAACACAGAGTTTAGTCTTCTATTATTATTTATTACTTGTTGTATTTACATTTTTGATATGAACAGCTATAAACCTATTTTTGCCCCACCCTGTATTTATTTTATAACTGGAGGTTTTTATCCTTCTGCTGACATCTCCCTATTTTCCCCAACACCCAGCCCCTGATTCCCACCGCCCTACTCTGTTTCTATGAATTCTACTTATTCAGAGTCCCTTTTAGGCTCCAAAGAAGACATATGAACGGCCAGTAGGTACATGAAAAGATCCTTATGTTTCAATGAACCATCTTCTTCAGTGTTCCTTAGATAATTCTTTTTTTGTTTAGGCAGCCTTGTATCAAATATATATCCCCAAAAGAATGTCTTACGGGGAAATTTTATCAGCTGTCCTGGGAAAGCTTCAGCGACCTCTCTCAGTCTGTTAAGAATATTCTCTGAGCCCTATCTATGATCATCTTTGATTTAGCTAGGTGTGATTTTCATTCGTAATAAATGTTCAGTGACCTCAAGTCCCCCAGTGGTGAGCTCTAAAACTCCTCTTCCTCTCCTTTAGAGGCAAGACCCTGTATCCTGGAATGACACGTTTGTGAATATCTCCAAAAGTGTCCTGCACACCAGATACTCCATCCTGCCATACCTCTACACCCTGATGCACCAGGCCAGCACGCAGGGCAGCACTGTCGTGAGGCCTCTTCTCCACGAGTGAGTGTCCAGCTGGAAGCCTGGTGACTGAGGGATGATTTTATTCTATATATTATCAGGTCAAGAAAATAGTTCTTCCAAATTAAATTAAAGACATGATTGCCTTTTGCCATAAGCTCTCTAGGGACATAAATATGTTCTTTAGCGCAGTGTCATTGATACCCTGGGTCTGTAATGAGAGGCTATTGAATTTAAATATATCTTTATTGATTTCAGAGAGAGGAAAGGAGAGGGAGACAGAGAGATAGAAACATCAATGATGAGAGAGTCATTGATCGGCTGCAGCTTGCAACCCGGGCATGTGCCCTGACCAGGAATCAAACCCCAATCGCCTGGATCCTAGGTCTACACTTAACTGCTGAGCCACGCCTGGCCGGGCAAGGCTATTGAATTTAAAATTGTTTTCCCAAAATGATACAACACAGAATAATTTCTTTCTAATTTGGGCTTGTGAAGACCTACTTATCTTTTACAGAAGCTCAGGTCACAATGCATTCCAGGGGGAGATTTGGGGGATGAAGGCCATTCTTGCATGTAGGATGTGCCATAGTTAAGAAGCATGGAGATATTTATAAATGAGAACATGTCTGGAGTTTGAAGAGCCTGATGTGTAGGAAGTGAATATATATCTGATTAAGGTGGAAAAAGTAATTTAAAGTAGAGAGGCTGGATTTCTGACTCGGGTCTGAATTTGAGGAGTTTCCTCAAGGCCTTGGCTTGGGGCCCTGCTGGCATCTTGATTGTGGTACCTTGGGTTTGCCTTTCCAGGTTTGTGTCAGACAGGGAGACCTGGGAAATAGACAGTCAGTTCCTGCTGGGCCCAGCCTTCCTGGTCAGCCCCGTCTTGACGCCTGTGAGTATGGAAGCCTCTGGTGAACAGAGGTCCCAGTTATGAAGCCTGGTGAATGGGGCCAGGAGAAGAGGCCTGATCTGGTGGGGGTCCTGAGAGGTGGCTTCGTATTCCACCTCTGTCTCTTCCTCCCCTCTGAGCTGAAGTCGATCACTTAGGTGTTCCGGTCCCCAGCTCCCTCATCTTTAAAATCATCAAAACAGATTCTGATTCATAGGACAATCGAGAAGGAAAAAACCTTATATTTGAAGATATAATCATTTCTTCATTAACTGAAATAAGGAGTTTAGTCAGGTGGGGGCAGTACTGTAAAGATTTATTACAATCCCCTGTTACCTTAAAACAAAACTTTTCCTAAGGATCGTTTGAGGCAATGTGTAGAATCTCACTGAGGAGGGCTAGCCCTTCCCTTCCTTCTGTAGGAGGCCTTTAGGCAGCACAAGTCATTTCCTTACTTTTTCTGTTGATGATTAGGCTTCTGATCAAAACACTAGTTAATTGCATCTTCTCCAAAACTTAGTGCACCGATCAGAATCTCTGAAGTATTGGCACGATAAAACCCACAGAGTTTTCTTCTGCCCCAGACCCAACTTCTTTGTTTCTTTAGAGAGGGTATGTGGGTTAAGTGTACAAGCAGATGATAATTTTCCCCCCAAAGTCCTGGATCCCAAAAGACTATATAGAAGCCACCAGTTTGGGGCAGGCAAATCTGTTTGAAGCAGAGAGAAAAGAAAGTCTTCCCCCACAGTCCCGGCCTCTAGAGAGATGAAGCATCTGGGCCAAGGACCATCACTAGTGTTTTGACCAAGCCAGTTATTCTGCTTTAGATAACTGAGCCCTGCCCATGACTTGTTTGTGTTTCATTTCAGAATAACAGAATTGTCTCTGCATATTTCCCCACAGCCCGCTGGTATGATTACTACACGGTGAGTTTTTCTGATTGTTATACGACCAGGGAAAACAGGAATGCGCCTGGGATTTAGAATCTGATAGACCCCCGCTCCCAGTGTGGCTCTGTAACCCACCTGACGTTGAACTAGGACAGGTCACCTGGGACCTCGTAGCCTCTGCCTTCTCACCTCCAAGTCTGGGAAGACCACTTCTTTCACAGGATTGTGGAATAACACATGAAGTGCCTTCCCTACTGCCTGGCCTTCCTGGGTGTTCTTTATGTGTTAGTTTTATCTTTCCTTTTACCAGCACCATTCACAGTGGTGTATAACAGCAACACTAGTAAACACTGGAAATTGTGCTGTAAACTATAGTTTTTGTTTAATCCCCCCATACTAGACTGTAAGTTCTTAAGTACAGGGGCCTTTTCTTCTCTCTCTCTCTCTCTTTTTTGTTTGTTAATCCTTACCTGAGGATATTTTTTTCATTGGTTTTTAGAGAGCGTGGAAAGGAGGAAGGGCAATAGAGAGAAAGAAACATCCATGTGGGAGAGACACATCGATTGGTTGGTTGCCTTCTGCACATGCCCAACTGGGCCCGGGGATTGAGCCTGTAACCCAGATACCTGTACATGCGCTTGTCTAGGAATTGAACCCTTGACCCTTTGGTGCATAGGTTGATGCTCTAACAACTGAGCCCCACAGGCCAGGCTCCTCTCTTTTTATTCCACGCCCCCTTCTACAGCATAGATGCTCAAAGAGGAGTTGTGAAACATGATTCCCTAGGGTAAGTGAGGTCTCAGGCCGTGTGTAAAATGCACATAGAGGTAAGAACCCCACCCTCGTGCACGGGAGCAATGCAAGCGCGTTTAGAAATGCAGGCTGGATACATCGTCTGCTGTAGAATGTTCCCAGGCTCGTCTGAGCCCCAGAAACTCATCTAGGAAAGCAGGGTCTTCAGAGCAGCTTCAGGGCAATATTTTATTATTATTAAATTTATTGGGGTGACATTGGTTAATAAATTTATATAGGGCTCAAGGGTACAATTCTGTAATTGTATATTGCATTGCGTGCCCACCAACCAAAGTCAGATCTTCTTCCATCATCATATATTTGACCCCCTTTACTTTTTGCTTCCCCCAGGCCCTCCCCTTTCATAATCACCGTACTCTCATCTGCGCCTGTGAGTTTTGGTTTGTCTTGTGTGTTCATTTGTTGCTTTCAGTTTTGTATCCCACACGAGTGAAATCATATGGTTCTTGCCTTTTTCTGTCTGACTTATTTCACTTAGTGTGATGTTCTCAAGATCAGGGCAGTATCTTGAGGAAGAGTCCCAGGGAGTGTTTCTTCTCCATCTCCCCAGGCCTCCTCTTGTGACTTTTCTGAGGAGAACAAAGCAGAGGACTGCAAATATAGCACAAAGATGACAGCTGGGGGACCAGGGCCAGAGCCTGCTCTGGCCCCTTTCAGCCAAGGGACTTGTGGTGGGATTAGGTGAAAGTATTAATATTACTTAATTTGTACCCAATCCTACTAAAAATTTACAGAGGTACCAATAAAAGATACACTATCTTATTTAATATTTTTAAAGAGGAAGAGGAAGGATGTTTTAGAGATGTTGGCAAAAGCATGGAAAATGCTTGGCCTTGGTAAGGAAGAATGGAGGCGTAGGCTCTCTGCTTGGAGCAAAGGAGTCAAGCAGATCTTGTTCCTAAATCGGTTCCTTTGTTGTGATACAGGTTATTAGAGCTTAAGTGAGGGAGGAGGTTACATGTAATTCATATAATTACTATTTCTAGACTCTGCCTAAATTTCTCTCTCTTCCATTCAACCAAACATGAAATTCGCCTAAATTTCCATCTTGTCTATTCAAGAGAGCATATCCCAGCATGTGCTGCACCCCACCCATCACCCAGAACTTGCCTGAATTTCTAGCCAGGGAAGATGTTTACTACAAGAATTTTTAATATAAGTTGGCAAAATTTCAGGAACAATTTAGATTCCCAGCAGCACTTGATGAGAGTGTTCGGCTCCCTAACTCTGTGTCAGGTTTAACCATTAGCTTTTCTATTTAAAATTTGTTTGCTCATCTTTGACTCTTAAAGGCAAGATAGTTCCTGATGCTCACAGATAGTTCCTGATTTATTTGTGATTATCTTTTGTTGTTGTTGTTTTTTCTCACATGTGGATACTTTCCATTAATTTTAGGGAGAGGAGGGGAGAGAGAGAGAGCAGGAGAGTGAGAGGGACATTGATCAGTTGCCTCCCCTACATGCCCAACCAGGGGTCAAACCCGCAGCCTTTCGGTGTATGTGACGACGCTCCAACCAATGGAGCCACCTGGCCAGGGTGATTGGTGGTGACCTTTGACAGGCCATTTGTACTTCTGTGACCTTTCTATCCTTTTGCTATTTTCTCATGGCATTTGCTTTTCAATTGTTTATGATTTTAGAGATTTTAGCTTTTATATAGTCAAGTTAATGTTTAAAGTCACTAAATTTGTTTAGTGAATAGAATTCACTTAGTGAATAGGCTATAACTCTTTTCCCTCCCGAATTGTCAAATTCCCCAATATTTTTGTTTGTTAAACTTTCGTTATAATATACCGTTCTTATATATGCTAGAATTCATATGGAAGAATTCTCTTTTCTGTTTCTGATTTGTTACTTTATTAATTGTTATTCTGTCAGTATTGAACATTTTAAATGATTGCATACTTATAGTACAATTTAATGTGTGATAGACTGATGTTCCCTCATTCTTTTCAGAAATGTTTTTGATTGTTATTTTTATATATTCTCCTAGAAGACATAGAATAATTTTGTCAATCCAGAAAATAAAGCAAACTTGCACTAGAATTTTTATTAATTGTGTGTAACATATATAATATGTCAGGTTATATAATTACACATTATATAGCATATTAATATATTATATACATGTATCTGGGAAGAAATGATAAATGTTATATATTTTTTCTTAGAATGTATATATTTTCACCAAAAGGTATGTCCAAGAATGTTTCATAGCAGTATTATTGGTGAATTAGTAAAAAACTGGAAATAAACCCAATGCCCATCAACAGTAAAATGGACAAATAAATCATGTTCTGTTTTTCAAACTCAGTGCTATAGGGCAAGGAAAATAATGAACTATTGCAACATCAGTGAAAATGATAAATATCATAAACATAATATTGAGCACAAATAGTCATATATAAGAGAATAAAGAATATGTGATTCCATTTAGAAAATATAAGTTCAAAATCAGGAAAAGTGACAGAAATCAGATCAGGAGCTACCTTGGTATGGTGGTTACTATGAGAGGGATGAGAGAGCCTTCTGGAAAAGCAGTAATTCTCCTATCTTGAGCTAGGTGGTGATTTCCTGAGTGTGTTCACTTGGTAATATTTTATTTCTCCATATACTTATTATTTCTGTCCTTCTCTGTACCTGTGCTATTGAAAATTTAAGTAGAAAAATAATAAAGCATGCCATAAACAGGCATCCTCACAAATCAATCCTTGGGAATTAAAGGCATGATGCAGATACTTAAAATTCTGTTTAAAAAGAAATCATAAAATACAATCTAGGAAACTACCCAGAAGGTAGAACAGAAAGGCACAGATGGAAAAGCAGGAGAAAAAAATAAGAAAGCTGGACTTAGCTTGATAGCCACCACTTTTGCACAATTTCTCTTCTGCTTGCCCAGTGGAACTTGAACAAAGAATGTTAAGTGAGGCTCCTGTCTTGCTGGTTCCCGTTTCTCGGGCATCATGATTCTTCATATCACAGCTGCCTTGGTGGCTGTGAACTCCCATCCCCGCAATGCCCCTCCTGTGCTCATTTGACTACCAGAAGCAACAAGCCATCCCTTACTGCTTGGCCTGTAGGGTCCACTTGTTTTATGTCCCACCTTGATGAGGGACAGGGTGAAGGACTTCGTTTAACCCAAATGGCTCTGCTGGACTAAGGCTGGATCTTTGTCGGCTCTGACTCTCAGTTTCTCTAAACTAGCTGCAAAATCAGCAGTGTATAGCTCTTTGTAGAGTTCCGGGCCTGCCTCAGCCATGCCTATGGGATTGAGCACACTGTGGAGTGTTCCTATCCCCTCCCCTCTCCCTTCTGTCATATTGGTTTCATCGATCTTTTGTATTGTTTTTTTTTTTTTTAGACTCTATGTCATTGATTTCCACTCTGATCTTGATTATTTCTTTCCTTCTGTTTACTCTGGGCTTTTCTTGTTCTTTTTCAAGTTGCTCTCAGGACTGCTTTTGTTGTGTCCCATCGATTTGGGGTTGTTGTGTATTCATTTTCATTTGTTTCCAGGTAATTCTTTATTTCTTCCTTGATCTTCTTGGTAACCCATTCATTGTTTAGTAGGATGCTATTTAGCCTCCATGTGTTTGAGCGTTTCTGAATTTTTTTTTTATTGTAGTTGATTGGAAGGATGGCTTCTTAGACGCTAAGGTTTATGGCTCCAGGTCAGAGAGCACTTCTCCTGGTCACACATGAGGCAAGATAAAGATTTAAACATAGAAGAAGATATAGTGAGTTTAAGATAAGGATTTGTGAACTGAGTCAGCTCACTTTAATCTTCTCTGTGAAATGTACCACAGGTGTTAGTTAAGTTGGTGGGCGTGGGGCGTGGGGCAGTGAAGGGAGACGAAGACCCAGTGAAAGAGAAGGTATAGAAACGCCATTGGCAGGGGAGTGTATCAGGAGCCAACAGGAAATGAATGAAAGGATTGTTCAACCTCCTCTAGCTGTGCTCAAGGACACAGAAATAGGATGTGGAGTGAAGGTGGAGTGGGATCCATGCTATGATCTCATGTGGTGGATACTGTGGAAACCCCAAAAGCAAGGGGCCCTGATAAGACGTTATGGCAGCAATGCAAGATTCCACACAGGAGCTGGGTGAATGTGGGAAAACGTAATAACAGGTATATGCGGAAGGATCGTGAACCATGAATGGGCAGCAGGTTCGGAAGAGTGGACAAGATGTCTGGTAAAGGCACTCATCAGAGGTGTGTTCTCTCCCCTTCATCTCTTGCCTTCCTCTGGCCCACAGGGTGTGGACATTCAAGCAAGGGGAGAGTGGAAGACCTTGCCAGCCCCTCTTGACCACATTAATCTTCATGTCCGTGGGGGCTACATCCTACCCTGGCAAGAGCCTGCACAGAACACTCAGTTAAGGTGAGTGATGGGATCGGTTAGCTCAGATCCTGGTGGAGCCCACCAATCTGTAAGCAGTACTCTTGGGCCCAAAAGCAATTTTACTAAACATTTTTCTTGGTTGGTTTATTTGCTTGTTTTATTTTTAAACTGTTTTTTTAGACTCTACATTCTTTGAACAGTTATCAACAACTCTTTTAGGTCTAATTGGGTGAGATGCTAGGTCTAATTAGTGATAATTGAAATGTAAGAAGCTATTGCTGAAAAATTGTGTGAGCCATAATGCAGCTGATACCTGAGGCTGAGAGTCCTCATGCACAGATTTTAAAATTCTAGACCTATGCCTGTAGAATAATAGCTAAGATCAAGTGAATGCTTGCTGTGTGCCTAGAACTGAAATAGTATGGAATTTTCTTTAAAAAAAATAAAATAAATAAACCCTATGGCGTAAGTACTGCTATTATCCCCATGTTACAGAAGAGTAAAGAGGCTTCATTGAGATCTGTGGAGTGAGCATGATGAACTCAGACTCACACAGTTAGTAAGCAGTTAAACAGGGACTAAAATCTATGTGTGTCTGATGTCAAACTAGAATTCTTAGAGCCTTACTCATTCGAGTCCAAAAATTCAGTTAAAAGCTAAAGAGCTTAGGACATTTGTGAACAGAACTCACTATACGTGTATTTAGGCAGTTAGGTCACGAAAGAAGAAAGGCCACAACATCCGAGCTTTCCTCACAATGGAAAGAGAAGGAATCCAATGGGTTTGCTTGTAGTTTCTGGTAGAGCCTGTCCCCCTGCGTCATTCATTCATCCATTCATTCCTGGTACGAAGTCATAGAGCTAATGAAGACAGAACTAGAAGTAGGCCGAGTCTCTTGAAACCTAGCACTCAGTCTTTATAGCAGGAAGAACTTCCTTTATGTTTTTTGAAAACCCTTGCTTTGAGACTGTGGCTTGGTTTTCAGCTAAGGCCTCTCTCCCATTTCACTGTAGCCGCCAGAAACACATAGGCTTCAAGGTCGCCTTGGATGAAAAGGGAGCTGCGGAAGGTTGGCTCTTCTGGGATGATGGGAGAAGCATTGGTGAGTAAGGGTTGCCTCAGATTCATGTCAGCCCCATTGACTGGGCTCCTGGATATCTTGTGGGCCTGTTTTTCCTGTTTCATGTTAAAGCAATTTTGCATTTTTTAAATATAGCTATTACTTTGAAGTAATACATAGTGTAGTTGAAGCTTAGCTCTGAATGTCTCACCTTTATCCACTGTAGAAGACAGCAGTGTGGGGGTCACAGTGAACATTTTTTGGTAACCAATGGAAATATACTTTCATATGGTTTATGTTCAAAGGCACATTCCCTAACTGCATGGCTTATTGCCCCAGTAAGAGAGACAATGCCTCTATCAGCTTTGCTATTTGTTTGGGGGGAATTAGGTGTTTACAGGAATTGGTGAACTCTTGGTAGGAGGGCTCAAGTATCCTTAGCTGCTTCTAGGCCAGTGCTGCCTAATCCAACTTTCCGCAGCGATGGAAATGTTCTGTCTCTCTGTTGTCAAAGGTGGTAGCCATTAGACATAGGCGGCTACTGAGCGCTTGAAATGGGACAAGTCCATCTGAGGAACTAAACTTTTAAATTTTATTTAATTTTAATTAATTGAAATTTAAATAGCTACATTTTGCCACTGGCTCCCTTGGACAGCACAATTCTAGAGGCTAGCCAGTGCTCTCTGATGAGTGAGCAGTAAGCCAGTTAGAAAGAGGCGAGCATGTGGGGATGAGTGAGGAAGCCACAGGGGAGGGAGGAGGGTGGGAACACCTAGCATTATATTCTCCCTGGACCTGTGGCATAAATGAGGGTGGAAGGACTAAGAAGGCTATATTTGTTCTCTGGAGACTGCATTTAAGAAATTGCCTGATATCTCTTAAGACAAACTCACCAAGACACCATTCTTGGTGTTTGTGTCTTCATCACGTATGTTCACATATGTTTGCTTCTAGCAGAAGGGACTGGGCCGTTCTGAGGTGACTAGGGAGACGTTGGGAGGGGTAGACCACCAGGAGATAAGTGGATTGAAGGGTGGTGTCGGGAGAGCACATTACGTGAGGTGCCCCCATCAGACTGATGTGTCTACACATACTCATTTCAAACATCCTGTGCAAACTGGGGTGAGGGCAGAGTCTGACTAATCTCCATGCCTAGATCTTAAATCACAAAGTGGAAATCTGTAAAGAAAAAAATGAAATAAAAAACAAAAAATAGTTCCTATTTTCTCAACCAAGACAAGCAGGCAATGAGAATTCTAAGTATAACTCTAGGTCATGTCTACCTTGTTGTTTGCTTGCAGATACCTATGGAAAAGGGCTCTATTACTTGGCCCACTTTTCTGCCAGCCAGGTGAGTGCGACTAATACAATGAAGGGGCGCTAGAGTCCTACTGGCTTAGTAGGATGCAGGCGGTCATAAGGGCATAAGGTACCGCTTAGAATTCCTTCCCCCTCCCCTGGCTAGTTTGCATCCCTCCCTCCCCCTAGACCTCAGATAGATTTAGTATGCTCCCAGGAAGTTTTCTGGGATTAGCCCCACTCATGTTTCATCAGGAACTTATTTTCACCAAGGCAGAGACGGGCAGGCTACTTCGCTGTTCTCCAGCCCGTTCCTATGTTGCCTTGGAATGGCCTGCGCATTTTCTGACATCTCCACGTGTAGAATGTATGGTTCCTGATAGCTGAGACCCTTTGTCTCCTTAGAGTTCAGGGCAGTTCTGGGGACCTTGCAGGTGCTTTTTAGCCAATGGAAATTTGGGCGATAGTTTGCAACAGGGGATAGAGTCCTGAAATCATGGTCTCCACAACAGGGCACAGGTGGTAACTCTGACTTTGTCTGACTTCATGATCTACATTTGTGCCTAAAAAGAGGTGGGGAAAAATTTGAACAAATTTTTCCTTTTTTCTTTTTCTTTTCTGGTTTCTTTTATCTCTAATTTGACAGAATACGATGGAGAGTCATGTAATTTTCAACAAGTACATCACGGATACAAACCCCCTGAATCTGGGCTACATTGAGATCTGGGGAGTGGGCAGTGCCCCTGTTTCCAGTGTCAGCATCTCTCTGAATGGCACGGTTATAACGCCCACCTTCACCTATAATGCAGCATCACAGGTTAGTGACCAGTGACCAGCCTGAGTGGTATTTCCCAACCCTGAGATGCATTGTGAAAAGCCTGCCTGTTTCCTCTCTAGTGACACCCTTTCCTGCAAAGCCCTTCGCCAATCCCTCTGTTTTCAGCAATGGACAGCATGGTGACGGAGGGGAAATCAGCCTTTATCATCACTTGGGATTGAGGGTCTGGTCCTTACTTTCCACGCATGTCTGCTTGTGTGCAAAGCTGTGTAAAACCTTGTTTTTACTCCCTCACCTCTGCTACTTGATAGCTTGAACGACTGTATTTTATCAACTGTAAGACACCGGTAGTTAAAAATTAGCCCATTATTTCATGTGCCACCAAGAAAGGAAAATGTATGAGAAGAGTATGATACAGAGATTTTCTGTCACTGAAAATTCGATTCTGAACTTATAGAGAGCTTTGTTAGACTCCTTTAGACATAGATTTTTATCATTTTAATATGTTAAGTGGTAACACTGAGAAAAGCGTCGGGTGGGAATATGTGGGTATTGATTCCACATCAGAGTGATTTAGAAGAGGTGGACCCTGAGTGTGAAGAAATATTAGAAATACCTTAACCAATGTGTGTCACATAATTTGCCTTTTATTATTTAGATATTTAGGTTATTTTATCATTTACGTCTGTTATTATTTTATTTATGATTATTTAAAAGGAAACTACGCGGCACTGACGGGTTAAGGCATTTGCTATGTACTATCCAGGTGCTGGTGGGACAGAATTTCATAAAACGTTTCCACTAGGTGAGATTTTCTCCCAAGTCACTAGCATGTTTATGTAAGCTTTCATCCTAGCCCTTTCTTGATCTTATGGAAGGATTCACATTCCTTCCTAAAATAACCCCTAAGTGGTTTGCTGTTCATCCATTCGTAGTACCAGTAGTGGCACAGATGTTCAGGTTTGCACAGGTAATAACAATTGTCATGAGTGCTGCTTGGCTCAGTAATTCTAAGGCTGTTGACTGGAAGACACGTTCTGATTTCATGAATGTAAAATACACACAAACTCTGCACCTTGGGATTAATGGAGCGGTTCTAACATCTCCCCTCCTGGCAGATGGGAGCTTTTTTTGTGTGCTTACTTACGCTTTTTCCTGAACTATTTTTCTTTCCTAATCCTCCCTGATTACAAGGCCTGCAACAAAAGTTTGCCTTCAGTTTTGTATTTTTTGTTTTCTCATATTTGTGGTTTTCTTGTTAACCAACTTCCCAAACTTTACCAAGAGCTCGTAAAGGACTTTACCTATTTTTGTTGCTGACCGACTCATGGGCTGCACATGCAGTGAAACTTTATGGGAAGTGTTTGCCTAGAAGAAAGCTGAAATATTGGATTCTCACTGGCGATCACATGAGCACTCTTAAGGATGAACAGAGGAGGAAATAATAGGGGGGCTGAAGGAACTCAACACCCCAAATGAATGGAAATGAGGACTCTTTTTCCAATGTATTTGTGGAGTTGTGTCTCTACAGTGGCTGCACAGTGCATTATTTTGAGGCTTGTTGTCTTTGTTGTTGAGGCTGAGTGATCTTTGTCCTGTAAGGATTTAAGACCCTCCCTCACCTGAAAATGTGAGAGCAGCCTGGAAGCTAGGCAATGCATTGCGGAAGCATCAGAGTGCTGTGTACACCAAGGGCTCATCTCTGATTTGTCTGCAGGAAATTTCAGTCATCTAATGCCCAATACTTTGCCTTTGGTTCCCAACAGGTGTTAAGTGTTGATGTGACCGGCAAAAACATCAGCCTACATAATTTCATTTCGCTGACATGGAAAAGCACTGCGTGAATTCTAAGAGCAAGATCCTATGAACGGCTTTGAAACTACTTATACTTCATGCTTGGAAAATTATTGTGTGTTGCTAATTGGTTCATGCCCAGTATGGGTTCAAATCTTTGATTAATTTTGTTTTGTGTTTTGCATGTGTCTCAGCCCTGTGGGGTGGGCAGTAGGGAGGTATGGAAAATCGATGGGTTACCTTAATGTCTCTATGTGATCAGTACAGTATCTGTTGTTCACCATACAACACTTACTGAAGATGAACGGGGTCCATGGTGAAGTGCGTGCGTGTGTGCATGTGTATGTGTATGTAATGAGGAAATAGGTCCCCCTCTCCTCCTAAACACCCAAGAAAAAACTTTCCGGGACAGTGTCAGGCCCTGGAGCTAACCCTCCCAGAAAGAGCATCTGCTGGTTGGTTATAGGGAGAGGGGAATGTTACTTTGAGAGCAGAATAGAAGGGGAAGAAAAGGCAAGTGCAAGGAAAGGTAAGCAGGAAAGCTGAGGGGCAACAGGTCATGATAAACGTGAGCATGACAAATGAGAAGACAATGTTAAAAATATCAGGAATACTAGCCTCAAGGCGAGGAACAAAGGAACAACCAACTCACTTGAAAGCGAGAGGAAAGGTTAGGGAAATGCTTAACAGGTGGGAGTAGGCGTGAGGATGGGATTTAAGCAGGCTGACCCGAAGGAAGGGGTGTGAATGTAAAAAATAACTTATTTTTGCAGAAGTGAGCTTTGAAATGTGTAACTCTGACTTCTCTACTCTGTGCCTAATGTATATAACCACAGTTTCCACATGCAACTTCTATGCCGGATAAAATAAAAAAGCATATTTATAAGAGACCTGGACTTTTGTGATAATTTGACCACTGGTAATGCCAGTTCCGATTAAGACTATGTCTTGCTCAGCACACCCTGGTAAACTGGTCTTGTTCTCTTTGGGTTCAGAGTTCCTGCAGTCTAATCCCCCAACAAATGATCAGTATTGGGAGGATCCACCCTTTTCCTTACACCCGTGGCTTGGTTTTTTATAAGATTTAGGTTTGTGGAAGAGTGTATTTGGATTACTGTTGTTTTAATCGTGGCAGATGCTATATGTGGTAAAATATCAACTCTGCAAAACAGAAGTTGCAACACTATTGGTTAAAACTCCAGATGGTTAAAATTTACGATAAAGAAATTATATATTAATGTTCAATAGGGATATTTACTTTTAGTGTGACTTGAAAATGAGTGTGTTAGAAATGAAGGTGTTTATATCCCTATGCTTTTTTTAACACCAGGAAGCCATGTTCTGCTTGTATATTCATGTGTCGGCGCCTGCACAAGCCTACAGAATGTAATATTGTTCAAGTGGCTTAATGTTCTAATTGTCAAAATGAGGAGCTCGTGGATGAGGGACTGAGCTAACTATGCGACTAGTGTGAAATGTGGAAAAGTAACCATGGGAATGAGTCCCTTGGTCAGAAAGGTGGGAAACTATTAGCTTTCCTCTAATCAACCCAGAAAGACTTCCAGGAGGAAAGCATTATTTACTTGATATTTAGAGCTATTTTAGGTTATCATCAAGCGCATATTAGTGGAAGTTTGCTCTGGCTGCCACAGAGTGCTCAGGGACAGGATTTCAGACTGGAGAATCCTGGTAGCCAAGCCCCTGCGTGAGGCAGAAGGTTGGCAATGTTTGCAGGACCATGGAACCCCGGCAGCCTGGTGAACCCGGGGAACCGCTGCTAGGAATGATGTCCTTAAATGCATAAAGTAAAATGCACGCTATTTTCAAGGAATTCTATTATATCAAAATACATGTATTCAAATATTTAAAAATTCAGTGTAGCGACACACGAGGTGTTTGTTTTCGCTAGTCATGCATTTTATTTCCAGCAACTCCTCCGTATCTCCTTACCACATCCCAGGGACAGGCCTGCTAGGTCCCGTGTTTGCTCCTGGTTTTAAGCAACACCGTCTCCTCTGTTCCTACAACTGGAGGGGGAGTAGCTTCCCACTGCTGCTAATCTCCTTATGGCCTCATTGTCCCCTGGTTGACTTCCCATCTGCTCATCATCTACTTGTTAAGTCTGTACATTAATTCCCTTTTTAATAAAAAAAATACACATTCATAGAGGATTGTGTTTTTTGCTTATACCCGACTTGCACAGTAAAATTAGGAGCTTACTTCAGGGTAAGAGATCTTCACATTTTAATTCGTATTAATTCTGAGCGCCCCAGCCTGGCTCCAGTCATTCACTATTTATATACTGGAATTCTATTTGAATAAAGAATTATATATATACATACACATATTCCCATATTGGGATAGAATTCAATAACTGTTTGGAGGTTTTCTCCCTGTCATGCATATATCTATATCTATGTCTACATATCTGTATCTAATCTACATATCTATATACCTATACATATACCTATATCTCTATCTATATATATGCTATTATATGCATATGCTAGTGTGTGTATATATATATATATATATATACATACACATACACATATATATGCTATTGTAATAATGATGCAGTGAACATTGGGGTGATATATCTTTTCAATTAGTGTTCTTGTTTTCTTCTAATAAATACCCAAAGTGGAATTTCTGGATCATATAGTAGTTCTATTTTTAATTTTTTGAGGAATCTCCATACTGTTTTCCATAGTGGCTGCACCAATTTACATTTCTACCAACAGTGCACAAGGGTTCCCCTTTCTCTATATCCTCGCCAACACATGTTATTTCTAGTCTTTCTAAAAAATATGTCTTTATTGATTTCAGAGAGAGAAAGAGAGGGAGAGAGAGATAGAAACATCAATAATGAGAGAGGGTCATTGATCGGCTGCCTCCTGCACGCCCTCTACTGGGGATCGAGCCCGCAACCGGGCATGTGCCCCGATGGGGAATCGAACCGCGATCTCCTGGATCCTAGGCCAGGGCTATTCTAGTCTGTTTGATGGTAGTCATTCTAATAGATGTGAGGTGATATCTCTTTTTTTAAAAAAAATTTCTTTTAGTAGCTCTGGGAAAGAGGATCAGTGGAGGAATTGGGTTTGTGTTTCCCTTATTTTCTCTCTCTCGAGCAGAGCTGCCCATCTCTAAGTATAAGGTTGCATCTTGTCTCAGCCCTTGTTAGGTTCACTAATCAGGGCATTTTATGCTGCTTTTGTTTGAGTCAGAAAAACTCGGAAGCAATCTGTAGGGTCAGGAGATTTGATTAAGTCACTTTGTCTCTCTGGGATTATGTTTCCTCATCTGTAAAATGCTGGTGTCTGACTAAGTGGTGATTTCCAAACTATGGGGCTGTGCAGAGCCTCAGGGCTCTTCATTGCTCTTTAGGACTGAGGAGGAGGCGGATTGCAGGGTTCTGAGCGACCCACCTGGCTTCAGTCATTCACCATTTATATCCTGAAATTCTATTTGAATAAAGAATTATATGTGTGTGTGTGTGTGTGTGTCTGTGTGTGTTACACATTCCCATATACTTTACATATGTGATATATATGTAAGGACTTTGAAAATTAATGCACCACGTTAGCAGACCACACACATTTTGGTCTCAGGGCCACTTTTACTCTTAAAAATTATTGAGGCCTGACTGGGCATGGCTCAGTGGTTGAGCATGGACCTAGGGTCCAGGAGATCGCAGTTTGATTCCCTGTCAGGGCACATGCCGGGGTTGTGGGCTCGATTCCCAGTTGGGGGCGTGCAGGAGGCAGCAGACTAATGACTCTCTTGTCATTGATGTTTCTCTCTCTCCCCCTCTCCCTTCCTCTCTCTGAAATCAATAAAGCTATATTAAAAAAAAATTATTGAGAATTCCCAAAGCTTTTGTTTCTGGTGTTTCATATATTGATATTTATCTTATTAAAAATTTAAATAGCTATGTTTTCCAAAGCCAAAGTAATTAGTCAGCATCGTTGTAGTACTTTACATCTTTGCACATCTCTCTGAAATCTGGCTTTGTAGGAAACACTGAATTCTCCTATCTACTTCCACACTCAATCTTTTGTGACAGCACATGCTGTGTAGCCTCTAGAAAACTCCACTGTACACTCACGAGAGAAAGTGAGGAAGAAAGGCAAATATTCTTGGTGCTTTGATGAAAACAGTTTTACTTCACAACCCCCCCTGAAAAGGTCTCAGGGACCACCCAGAGCACGCTTTAAGAACCACTCCACAGGGAGCCATATCCACCTGTGGCCTCTGCAACAGGGACCTGCACTTGTAACTTCTGGCAGCTATGAGGGGAAAGGTTGGGGTCTTTTTGACATTTTCTCTTTTCCAGATCACACAGTTTCACTTGATCTCTTTGTAGGTATGCCAAAATAAAAAAATAAGATTTTATGCCTTTTCATTAAAGCATCATTATAACACTGATTATCATAGGTACCTACGAAAACAAAATTGTGTTGGCCTTGGCAGATACTGTTTGAGTGTCGCCAACCTTCTCTTCTTGTCATTGCAGCAGCATCATGGAGAGTTTTGCATCTGGCCTTGGAGGATGGTGCTCTGAGAATTTAGCGTCATGTATTGTTGGCTTCTGACCTGATGGTTCCAGCCACCTGCTTTCTTTGATCATGTTATGATCTCTGCCAAGAGCTAACTTCATCATGCTTCTGACTAATAAACAACGGGAAGATATTGGGTCACATGATTATATCTTACCTCCAAAGTCTCTCTGTTACTGTTTCATTGGTCAACACAAGCATGTGAGCCGATATCTTCCAGCCACCAGTCAGCAAGAAGGGATGGCAAAGTTGGCTGTTTTCTCTTCCTTAAAAAACAGGTTATAGCCGGGATGGATTGTCACTTAGCATTGTAGTGTGAGCAATGTCACCAATGAGCACGGGATGGTGGGAGTTAAGAGTAAACTATTACTCAGACTAGAAAGATCTTATGTAATAATAACTCTCCTTTCTTGATCTTTTGCCAAGATATCATCCCAATTTGAAATGAGATCCAGGTGCATTTTCCCCTCTAACAAAGACTCTCTTGTACTGGAGCAAAGACAAGGTGGGGAATTCATGAAAGCAGGAACCAAGTTTGTGTNCCTCTAACAAAGACTCTCTTGTACTGGAGCAAAGACAAGGTGGGGAATTCATGAAAGCAGTGTGTGTGTGTACTTGCCACACACTGAGGATCTGAAGCAAACAGGGACCACTATGGATACTGTATTACTTATGAATCTTAGATGCCATTAAAAGATGGCATGCCGCATATAAAATATACAATATCTTATATATGCTATATACTCTCATATATTGTCGGTAGGAATGTAAAATGTTGCCACAACTTTGGAAAACAATGCTCCAGTTCTTCAAA